GCACTTGTTACTACTAGCTTCTTGTTCCTAATAGCTTCTTGTTACTACTAGTAAGGCACTTGTTACCAGAAGCGATGCACTTGTTCCTAGTAGCTTCTATACCATCATGTTCCACCCTTCTACGGTCGTTCTTTTTGTTTCACGGAAAGATTGAGTGTCGGTTTGCTGCACGTACCGCGTGAGGTACACCTCCTGGTCTCCGCCATTGCTGCCGGTGGTGCTGTGCCAAACATGTCCCTGGAGTCAGGCGAAACTTCCACATGTAAACGAAGACGTTCAGGTGAGCAGCACCTCATGAGGTTTTCGATTGAAACCAACGCCTTGAACGGAGCAATCGAGAACGGAGAAATATGAACGGAGCAAAATCAACTCCGATGGAGCCATGAACGTGTGTGCTGTTTCACATGTTGAGTGAGAACACTCCGGGTCACATGTTACTAGTAGCTTCTTGTTCCTAGTAGTGACGCCAGGAGCTACTAGTAGCTTCTTGCTTCTAGCAGTAAGGTGCCTTGTTACTAGTAGCTTCTTGTTACTAGTAGTAATGCACTTGTTACTAATAGGGATGCACTTGTTTCTATGAGTGTTCACTCCAGGCCATAGCTTTATGGGCTCCGCAGTGGGTGGCCTTTTGACGGCAGCAGCCTATGGCTTGTGGTGCGGCTTGAGGCCAACGAGAGTGGATGGAAGACTCAGCCGGCTATCCTCACTATACTCACTACCCTTGGAAAAGACGTCTTTGTGGATTGGTGGAACAGACATGATTTGTAGAAGATGATCAAACACAGTTGAGCCATGTTCCGCTAAATCGTGTGGAGTCTCGAGTCTTCTTGAAACATTGCTGCGATACCGTTTGCTTTGTGAATAGTATTCATAGTCTCACCATCTTGCATGTTTTGTTCATACTAGTGGGATCCTGTTTATGCTTAAGGCTTAAGGAGCAACTTGAAAAGGCACAGACAGCATGCAAAGCGGCTTCAGACGGAGTCGTCCGGAGCGTGCTGCTTTGTGCGTGCTTTGGTGCAAAGTCTTCAAAACCACAATATACAACACAAAAAGGAAGCTCCTTCTGCCTAAGTGTTGGCGATTCATCCTTCAAACACGCACAACTTCCTGCACCAAAATGTCTGGCGCTTTGTTCTCGAAGTCAGACTGGCCCAACCATAATTAATCGTTCAGTTCTTCTAAGAATAGCTGCTGTAAGTGAATAGGTTGGATGATGAGAACTGTGCAAACATGTTCGTGATTTGTCTAGTGAACCTCAGATCAGCAATCGCCACAACCAGGGATGAACAAGCCAGCAAAGAGCGGTAGAAGTTCTGCTAATGCCCGGAAACGCGGCAGGCCGGCAGGCCCCTCTAGAAGAATTCTCATGTTGTTTTCTGAGTTTTATGTTCCTTGTAGTTTAGGCAGAAGCTCGCAAAGTTAGATTCACTCGCGCAGACGCTTGCGCAGAGCAGATGCGCTTGCGCGCTCCTACCGTGCAGGCCTTTGCCCTTGTTGGACATCATCGCGCCGTTGGTGCCATTAGGCGCGTCCAAAGGGTCGTTGGGAGAAACTCTCGTGCTCAACGAGAGCTCGAAGGGAAAAACGGATTTGCTTTGGAGGTGCTTAAAGAGCTCAGCCGCAGCGTGTTTCAACTCGGCTGGTGGGTCGACAAAACACGCAAGGTGAATGCCTCATGAGCCTGATCAACTCGTTTGCTTGTGCCGAGCTTCCACAAGAGACTGAAACACGTCAGTACAATTCATCACCAACGCTAAGAACCCAACAAGAGACATGCTGTTCTGACAATGGGTGAACCAGATTCCATCCGGATCCTTTGTTTGAGGTGAGGTTTTTCTGTGATTCTCTTTGCGCATTTCTTCCTTTGGGTGCCTTGCTACGTCCATTATGGTGTACTCGGAGGCTGCAATCTACTGCAATCTAGTGCTAGAGAATAAGCAAAACCAACTTACCAAAAAAAATTACTTGTGTTTATTATCTTTTTTGTTGAGATCGTATTATTTATCTTTACTGCAGACTCAAACGGCCTTTAGGTCTGAGACTCGAAGACTTGACGACCCTCTGACTAGTAGAGTTCCCTTTTTAGGTACTATGGGACCATGATGGAACCAGAACGCCTTGCGGCATGTGGCTTGGGGTCAGGCCATGCTGTGGGAAAGATCGGTTGCTTCCTGTGCGGCAGCTTAGTTGGGCAGCTTGGGATAATTGAAGGTGAGCTTAGCAGGGGATGGCAGCTTTTTGCATTGATGCAGTGGACCGGCAAAACATTGCAAAACCATTGGGTGTGTTTACTTTCTGGCAAAATGGTGAGGTGTCTTTTTTTTGTTGGGGGGACAAGCAGAAGAGCAGCAGGCGAGACAAGGCCCAGTTCCATGCTGGGTGGATCCTGTGTCTTGGACAGAACCTTGGGTTTGGAGGGGACCTCACCAAAATGGACATTTCATGTTGATTTCATGCTGCTTGCACCCTGCTTCCGCATGGTCCCAAGGTAGCTTCTATACACGGCGTGATTATTCCCCCAAGGTCCCAAAGTCAAAGCTGAGGCACTGTTCTGTTTGCCTCACTTGCAAGGGCCTATTCCAATGTATCCGGTTTGGGTTGAAGCTGGATTTCGTACATCAACAGTAGGGAAGGGGGTGTGATATTTGGATCCGAAGACTCCAAAGTCTAGTCACGTCACTCCAACTCACGTCACATGCAAGTGGATGGCATGTGGATCCCTTGGAAGACTGTCCGAAAGAAACCAGCGGGAAGTGGAAAGACTGAACAATGGCACTTCCACTTCTGTGTTCTTTTTCGGTCTTCGACTGTCGGACCGACATGTCGTCACTCCGACCGACCGTTCCGGGTCCCGCAGTTCGGGTGATGGCTGCTATGGCCCGCGCAGCGATGCCCCATGGGACCGGGGGCCCGGCGAAGGTCGGACGGGCCACGGCCGTGGTGTGCACGTGGACGTGTGTGGTGCTCTGTTGTGATGGAAGGTTGTGTTGTTTCAAAATGGGTCTGATGGCTCTGGGTGGGGCTTCGTAGGTTCGGTGAAACCGTCCATATATCGCTCATTGGGGTCTTCTGAGAAGGGTTTGCGAGGCTCGTTCAACAGATGTCTTGAAGTCGGATGCTCGTTCAACGATGTGTTTCACAACTGAAGAGTCATCAGCGACGAGTTGGGCCTCAAGAATGGATTATCGCATGGCCCAGCGGTCTTTAAGAGATGGTTGATCAATGAATGTTGTTGCTCCCCTGCCTGCGAGCAACTACGCAAAGCTCCATCGCTCGTTTGTGCTTGCAAGCGTTGGACTTCCTTGCGCTGAAACGATGCTGCAATTATTCTCAAGCGTAGAGAGGGTTTGAGGTGTGGACAGCATGAATTTGTACAGGACCTCAGGACCATGTATGTTGGCACACTGAATTCCCACAACAGGCTCAGAAGCCGAGCTGGCATTGTGGACAGATAGACTCCAGACTCTAGCCGATAGTTATGTCTACAAGTGACTGCATCGTCAAGAATTTACATGTTGTTTATTGGGGGCAAGGAACTGAAACTGCTTCACACACGCACACATTGAAGCACATGTTCCAAGCCTCAGTCACCACGAGATGACTTCGCCATTGGCTCATCCAAGGCCGTCTCGTTTCCCAACGGATTAATGCCCACGCCCGGGGGCCCAGTGGAGAAGCAGTGGAGCAGATCGGTGCAGATCGGTGACAGGGGAAGGGCAGGAAAACAGATCCTCCCATGGCCATGGCCTTGCAAGAACCTACTAGCGATGGCCTCCAAACCTACTGGCGACGGCGATGGCCTCCAAGGGTCCCAGTCATTTTGGTCACAGTCACTAGCTACTGCCTGAGTAGAATCCCAGTTCCATGACCATGGTTTCCATGGGAACATTGATCGTAATGGGTTCAAAAAGAGATGGTCCAGTTTTGGTAGGAACTTTCATAGAACCCTCGGGATTTGAGGCTTTGGTTAGGGTAGGATGACCATCCCCCAAGCAAGGTGCTTCGGCGACACATGTGAAGAGTAATTTTCCAGCAAAACGACCCGCACCAACCTACTAGCCATGGCCTTCACCCTAGTAGCGGCCTTGCTACTAGTAGCGAAAGCCTCCAACCTAGCAGCTTCTTGTTACTAGTAGCGTCCTTGCTCCTAGTAGTATGGCCAGGAGCCCTTAGTAGCGAACCTTGTTACTACTAGTAAGGCACTTGTTACTAGAAGCGATGCACTTGCTCCTACTAGCGTGGCACTTGTTACTACTAGCTTCTTGTTCCTAATAGCTTCTTGTTACTAGTAGTAAGGCACCTGTTACTACTAGCGTGGCACTTGTTCCTAGTAATGCCCGACCACTTCGCTTCGTCACCGGAGGAACCTGCGTTGCCCGCTGAGGAAAGAGGCGGTGCATCCGACTCCCTTGTACGAGTGCACGTTGTCCATGGTGCCGGAGTGGGCGGTGACCAAGGGTGGCAGTGTCCAAGAGGGTTGGAGTCAAGAACATGTCCGGAAGCACCCAAATCCACGGGAAAGTTGCAAGGAGTGCATGTTCCTGTAAGTTGGAAATGGACTTTTGGTCTCCAGCAACAAGCTGGATATCAGATATACGTTCTATCTCATTCAGTTGGTCATGCTTTCATACACCTGCTCGCTCAGATGGAACCTGGACCTATCCACTATCCACACCCAGACCTCGCCTCGCCTCTCGCCTCGCCGCAGACGCTCTTTCTCTTTCTGCACTTCTTTGTGTCGCTGCCGTCAGAAGGCGGCCCTTCTCGAAACGTAGGCGGGACCGGTGGGACCGGGATGGGAAGGCGGCCCACCCTCGGTCCCTCAGTTGGTCCTCCACGTTTTGAAAGAGACTGAGACCGTGCTTCCAAACCAGAAGACAACATGACTGCAAGTTGCAGGCAACATCAAGGTCCGTTGTTCCAAGGGAATCCTAAAGCACTTGATGCATTCCTCTACCTACCTGATATTGCAAGACCTGCCAACAAGATATCTTTCCCTGCCAAAAGGAGCCAAAAACCTTTCCTCGTCCTCTTGTCGGTCACGTTGATCACCACCTTTCCTCTGACAACTTTCTGAGGGTGCACTCCGGCAAGAGGCGTGGACAATACTTTCCCTGTGATGACAAGTGGTTGGGTGGCTATGTGTACCACTTCCCCAGGAGGTGCCAATGACAACTCATCATTTCATTAAAAGGTGTGAAGACGAATGCTCGAAGAAAACGCTGTGTGGACACCACTCAAAGACGTGGCGCCTCCATCCTAACAGAAGGCTTTAAAAAGAGAACATGTGGATTCTTCCCTCCGTGAATCAGTCACCCTAGAAAGACTCCCGGTCATCAGTTTGAGCTGACCGGTCACGTCCGCTCTGCTTTTTCTGAGGCGTTCGGAGTGCCCTGACCTTGTCGTTGTATGGCCTGGAACGCATGGCCATCGAGCCCTTCCGAAGGCCACCGTGTGGGGAGGGTGTCGCGTTCGGAACCATCCGACCTGCCACAGAGGCTTCTGTTTGAATTGTTTAAGATCATTCGTTGGCAATGTCTAGTGCATTTAGCGGGAGGGTTCAAATTCAGAGGTTTTATCTCCAGTCACATGTTTCAACCTGTTTGAAGCGCTGGCCCGGCCTCTCTCATTACAGCGAGTACCTGAGTTCCTTCCGACATCTCGGGAGAGGGATCCTGCTAGTAGGTGCGGAATGTGGAAGAGTTGATCTCAATCTCCGTATTCGGAATGATTGTCTTCACCAGGTAGCACGTCGATTCCCCCCCTGGCTGTTATGTCGAAAGCAGAAATCCAAACGTGGGACCTCTCGACTCAGCCAACATGATCGCACCCAAATCCCTAAATGGCACCGCTGAAGACGACGCTGAAGACCCGTTCTGGGGCCACAACCCGGGTGTGTTTCGTTGTCGGCAGGGCCTGCCGAAATCTCCGGGTGCCATGATGAAGGCTCCTCAGACTCAGGCATCCTCCGAGTGAATACTTGTTTGGCCTCACGGAGTATCAGTTCCTGGCGGCAGCTTGGCAGTGGAACTTGCAGCGCATGCAGGGGAACACTCGGTGGGGGGACGTGAACTCGGATTCTGAACACAACATGAGCTGCATAGTCATCAAAAACTTACATGGTCTGAAAATCCGCTCAAGAGTGTCATCTCAGGTTTGGGGTGTATATCATTGACGTTCTGCAGAGTTTAAAGCAAGGCATGGAGGGGTACGTATCCATAAACTGCAACTCTTGCAAATACTGACCAAGAAACCCCACGTGGAATAGCTGTACTAAAGCTGCACAATGAAGTGCAAGTGTAGCACGCAAACTCGGCTTTTCTTCAATGCCCATGGCTACTTGCGTGTGCGAAAGGTGGCAACACCGGAACTGGACGGGGCAGAATCGGCCAAAGCGGTGAGATACGGCAGATACGGAGCAGACCTTTTGTTCAACATCGTTTGTTCAACATTGTCCAAGGGCCTGTCATCTGAGGTGATCTTCATCTTGCTTGGCGGGGCGGGGTACTCAGCTGTCAGTTCTGCCAAGCTGTGGAATCAACAAGCATGGATATGGTGGATACTTTCCTGGTTGGGTGGGAGTCCATGTTGTTGGGGAGGTTCTCCATGATATCGGTGAGCTTTAGTGTCCACCTACCTACCTAGGTTGCTGTCCCGTTCTCTCATATCAAGTAGTGCTGCGACTTCAGAGTACATGGTTCAAATGTCCGAATTCCCATATGTGGTGGAAGAACCCACATGCAAGCGGTGTGATGCCAAAAGCGAGGTGGCAAAAAGACACCTTCGAATCGAGTTCTTGATATTTCGCTTGTCGCCACTCCTGCCGGTGAGGTGCTTTACATCCTGGGCGGGACAACAGACCCCTGGCCTTTGCGCTTTCCAAAGAAGGCTGAAACGGCGGAAAGAAGCGACGTAGGGAATTGTGAGGGATGCCGAATGCTGTGATGCGGAGAGTTTAACATGAATTTTACTCAAGCCAAGATGGAATCTCTGAAACCACCTGTCAATCTTTTCCTGTCAAAGCCACATTGCCAGCATGAAATGAGCATCAGCTCAGCTTGCGAACAAAACAAGGGGAAAGGAATTGGACAGCAACTCTCAGAGGCCCTCAACGGCAAGTTCCGTTGACTGGTTGAAGTGGGTTGAAGTGGGTTGAAGTGGGTTGAAGTGCCTTGTTTTCTTACCAAGTTTTGCAGGATTGTCAAAGCTGCTGGGTTTGCGATTGATTTCGGACCGTTACCTCACCAATACAGGGCGCGTACCACTTCATCCTCATGGACCGAAATCGGAGATTGCGAGCGTTCTCCCGCCCGAGAAAGCGGTCTCCAGGAAAACGCTGAAGAGACGGAAGAGAAGACGGAGGATGAGAAGAAGGAGGATTGACGACCTGAAAAAGGTCTCGAAGGATTGGGATCATGTCACTGACTTGCGAAGTTTCCAGCTTTTGTATGCGAAACTGTCTCGTTCTTTTGTCCAAAGTTGCAGCATGTCCTCAACTGTCAAGGCAACATCCAATAAGCGGGGCCTTGGGGCCGCTGTGATTGAGTTTGATTGAAACATTGATCCAAAGCTGTGACATGGCTTCACAGCTATTGACAGTCAATGACACCCGGTAGATTTGTTGCTTCCCACTATGGTCCTATAGTAGTGTGCTGCTGGGCTACTCTTCTGGGTAAGCTATTCTGACTGGTGTTCAATATCTCTGGCATGGTCTGCGTAGTTTTTGACATTCTATCTTAATCTTTCCGTTTGATACCACCCACCCCTTCATCAGGGCTTTGCCAACAACCCTGTGAGAACGTGACGTGTCCAAAGTAGATTGTGCTTCTGCAGCTGCAGCCCAAAGTTGGCTGAAAAACAAGCTCAGTCAATTCGATCCTCTCATGGCAAGGCCTAACGTGGCGCTGTGGGAATGGCATGTGCTCGCAAATAGCGCCAGAGAAGCTCTGCAGTCGCCCGACACCGGATGGCAAACATCGCCCAAACCTGGATCCGCTTTTGCACCAACGCACCGTCAGAAGGGGGGACCCTTCACCAACTCGGTTCCCTTTCCAAGATCGTTGCTGGAACTGTGATTTTGTGCCTTGAGCTTGGGCTTTCCTACCCTAACGCCTGGTAGAGTCATACCGTTGTTGCAGCTCGTGTTTTCTCCTTTGCCCTCCCAGGGTCCCTGGAGAGGTGCAGGACTGGTTCTCTAAGAGTCCGTGAGTAGCTCTCTATCTCTGCCATGCCATGCCGCGCTCCGACACCGAAACCGTGACCGGCTCCAGCGCCCCTGTCGCACTGCCGGCTGCGGTCAAGCCGCAGTCGGTCGCCGGGCGGTTCGGGGCAGGGTTAGTGAGAACCGCGCAACGGCACCGCCAGGTACAGCCCAGTTGGAGCAAAAGAAGAGCAACCCAGCCGTAGGCCCCTGTAATTAGGTGTACCCAACATGCAGCAAGACAGCTGGCCGCAGTTATCTAACTGAGTCAGGCTGGACAAACTTGTTGGGGAGCTGCACACCAAACGGGATTCAACAAGTCTTCCACACCACAAGAGCTTCATACATCACACATTCCATGACATTCATGGCCAGGACAACGAAATCAAAGCATGCAACGTTAACTGGATCACATGTCCCATGCTAGCGGCACGAGTAGTGCAGCATCAAGCAAAACCGCATCAAATGGCATCGACCATCGAAGCGCTGATTTCTTGTCCGTTCGCGGGGATCGCCTAATGACCACCCCGACCGCCAGCGAGCATGGTGTGCGCGCCTCAGTGAGTGTCGCTTCTGTAGATGAGGGCCTACATGTCAGCGGAAGGAGCACAAACTCAACTTCCAACAGTCATCTTGAAATAGATTGCAAATATTTGTTGTGGTCGGAGGCCATCGCTAGTAGGTAGATTTCAGTTGGCTATGTGACATCTGGATCTTTTCCACAGAGAGTATTGTGTATTTGGGTGCTCAGCACCATGTTTTCCCCATTATGTAGTTGTTTGTTGCAACGTTCAGGGACTGCGCAGGATTCGTGATGTTCCTTTACACGTTTTGCAGACCCAATCATGGAGGCCATGACAGACTGCAGTTCCGACTCCGACGATCAGACGTCTCTTGTCCGGCGATTTTTTGACCAAGTTCCAATGTATCAGATTTGGAACCACCATGACAAGCCGGGTGCGTGCTTTTCTTCTGCTCGCTGTAGGCGTTCGGCTTATGATCCTCTTTTCAATGAGACTTTCGAGGCCCTTATGAGCGTGGGCGGATTGCGCTATGGTAGCAGTTAGTGATTTGTGGAGTGGTAGCTGCACAGCTCAACCTACTGATAAGGAATTGAAGAATACGCACTGTAGATGCCTCAGTCATTGTCATCCGAAAACACGTCTCTATTGGTGACTGGGTTTCTCACGGACTATGTCCATCGAGAAGTCCTTTGCATCCTACATCCCCAGCTGTTGACCAGTCGATGCTCAACACTTGAACCATGGGAATGCTCCAGTTGAATCTAGCTGGACGATTCTGGACCTGTTTCCCTTTTGGTTGCTCATCATGTCGCGGCCACCGCAAGAGCTGCCGCAGGCGCGACATCCAACGCCTGGGGACTTAGGGGACAACGATTGGAAAGGTTGAACAGAGCAGAAGGACTTCTCTCCTCCCCGTGTGCAGAGAATCACAGCCTGAGCCTTCAAACACTGAAGTGAGATTGGCTTGGGGAGAGGAAAAGATTCCATAAACTTACCTAGTTGAACTGGTCGTGATTGTTTTGTAACGGATGATTGTGATACTGCTGCACAATGCACAGCTAGAAACTGGGCTTCCAACAAACACCTTCATGGTTGCCGAAGAGCGCGAGACCAAAATGGCGAGCATATGCTGTGAATGAACAGCATCCTGCACCTGATCAATCAAATACGCTGGAGTTTCATCATTCCCTGCTTCTTTTGGTGCAAGAGGTGTACGGCTGAAACAGTTCCCACATAAGACTTCCTTGCTTGGACTTACCTCAAAGAATTGGCTACGACCATTTGGCCTGTCAGTGATTCAGTAGGCTTGAAAACGAAAACCTTGGAGGGTTGAAATTACGAGTCTTCAACATGTTTGACTCCAACTTCCTGATCACCGCAGTAGGGAGAAGTTTGATGGATGGACGCCCAAAAAATCGACAGACTTCTTTGTATTACATCTGACAGTTCAAAGGAGTCCTGACGTAGATGGATAAGTTCTCCGCCCAATGTCTCCTGCAACATCCAACAATCAGAGACCTGTTTGGATGCAAAGACGAGGGATGTTTGCGGACGTAGTCCTTGCAAAGGCACATGGACTGCGAACAATTCACCTTCAAGACAACATCTATTTAGGACAAGAGCAGGGTTGCTGAAAAGTATCAAATTACAGGCCAGGAGTCTCTTCGGTGGATGTCAAATTTCCTCACACCGGCTGGTCATGAAATGTCAAAGAGCACTAGTGTGTGGACTTTTGTTTGATACTAAGGGGGGTTGAGTTGGCAGTGATCCGTCAGGTTGTTCAAATCCTAGGAATGAATACAGGACGCTTCTGTCGAGTCAATCGGCTCTCTTGTGGCTCAGGATGCGCCAAGCTTCAAAGACTCAGGTGGCGCTCTGTGTTGGGTACTGATCGCTGGAGAGTCCTCTGCCTCACCAAGCTAATTAGAAAGAGACGCAGAGCCACGTACCAATACATGTTACTACAGAGGAGCCGTTTCAGCGTGCCAAAAGTCAACATGAAAGGGATGTACTAATCTAAGATGAAAAAACGTTACTAGCTTCTTGTTACTACTAGTAAGGCACCTGTTACTACTAGCTTCTTGTTACTACTAGTAAGGCACTTGTTACTAGAAGCGATGCACTTGTTCCTAGTAGCGAACATTGTTCCTAGCTAATCTGAGATGAAATAAATTTTAATGAATAAGCTACTAGGAACAAGTGCATCGCTACTAGTAACAAGGGCCTTACTAGTAGTAACAAGAAGCTATTAGAAATGCCTGCGGCCGTTCCAGGTCCCTCAGACCTTTTTCAAGCCCGGAACCGAGGACGTGACACCGGGGGACTGGACGGAAAGTGCGTGCCGGACCCGACGATCTGGGTAAGGACTCTCCGAGCGTCCGAATGTCTGCCGAGGCTTGTGAGCTTCCTAGTGCTTCTGTTAGCTTTGGTCTCACCGTGCGCAGCCCAGAATGAGGACCGAAGGCAGCCCAACTTTCGCGAGCCGGAGTGTGAAGGTGTAAATGTGGCGATAGTTGTCGTTCGATGTTTCTTTGCCGCAGGTTGGCACACAAAAAGGAGGGTACCGGGGTCTTGACCCACAGCCATGTGCAGATGAGCCTTGATAGGAGTCATGGATAGGCAGGCATTTGTGAGACCCAGCTATTTTGGTGTTCACCACAGCTGACCGGGTGTTTTTTTCAATTTGACTTGCAGCTACAGCCACACAGTAGATCAACTTAGGACAACATCCAGGAATCCTGCCCGTTCCTCACGGCCTACCCTCCCTTGTTAAGAAACCCAAAAGCAAGAAAATCTAGAATCACTGGCTAAATGATGCAAAAGGCACGTATCAAAGTGCTGTAGCACTTTGGCCGTAATGGCCTGGCGAGCAGGAAGAGGAGGTCATCGATTTTAGCATCGCCAACGAGGGCAGCGTGAACTCGTTGGAGGAGGCGCTCGAAACGACGTAGGTCCAACCCATGGAGATCACCCATAGGTTGAAGTGATCCGGATTGAGGGAGTACACGAAGACACCACCAAAGGTGAAAGTAGGTTCGCTGTAACGAGTCTACTCAGAGACCTGTCTACTAAGCCATTTTGCATATCTAAGAGACGTGTGCGGGGTTGTATTTCTCTTGGGTTGGAGAGGAACGTCCCAAAGGACGACAACATGTCTCGTGGGATCTGTGGTGTTGTGATCGGGGGCTGTGCTTGAAACCTTGAAACCCGCACACACAGGGTCCAGAATAGGCTACTATACTGGTCAGGCAAGATGTGAGTATGAATTCGGTTTTGGCCTTGGGGATTTGGGAGGCTTTCCTAGTAGCGATTCTTGCTCCTAGTAGCGTCCTTGCTCCTAGTTGCGATGCCAGGAGCCCTTAGTAGCTTCTTGTTACTAGTAGTAAGGCCAGGAGCCCCTAGTAGCGTCCGATCGCTCCTAGTAGCTTTCGCGCAGTTTCGTTTTGACCTGAAGGAACGAACCGATGCAGACTCAGCTCTCCATCCACAGTCCCCCTTGGCGATCGATCGATTGCAGACTGATTTGATGGGTACAGGAAGGTTCACCTAGTTTGGTTGGTTGGGTAAGTGTGCGTGTTTCTGTCGTTTGCTTCGGCTTTCCCAAGATGTTCACCAGCAACCGGAACGTGTTTCTGTGTGTACCACCGCAGGTGGTCAGTGGGGTGTTGCTCATCTATGGAGAGATCGACACGGATTTGCTGACCACAGGTGACCGGGCGTATCGACACTGGTGACCGGGGATAGAGGAGTTTCGCGGTTCTTTTGGTCGTTCGGGGAGCACAGGAGTTGTCCAAGCAAACCAGGAAGGAAGCACAGGATGGAGAACCATCATAGGCTCATAGGGCATGAGTTTTGCAGGGGCTTGTTTGGGCAAGGACCATTGCTGGCAGCATTACTCTGGAGGTGGAGGGATTTGGTCCTTCAGCTCAAAAAATGGTCACCTCCTTTCTGTTGTTAATGAAGCCTCCCCGAACTTGTTTCGGATAAAAGGAACTTTATGCATCTGTTCTATTCAATTAAATTGGACACCACACTATCCCCAGGCCCTAGGATGTGTCGAAACAAATGCATAAAGGAAACTTTCATTGACACTGGTACCTTGGAAGATGCAAAAAGGTCTAAACTGACCTGTTGTGTCCACAACATCAGCCCAGGTGACATCGACATCGTGGTGAAAGAAACCCTTGGCACGGCTCTCGGAACCCAAACCCACGACCTTTTGGGTTCCAACTCTTTGCAAAGAGACGAACTCTGAATATTGAGTGTTGGGCTTCGTGGATCAAAGTGCGGCAGTTTTGTCCCACAGAGAAGCATGCCGGTCGTCAAAAAGCACGAATATCCAGACACGTGACGACATCGCGGCATGTCATGCGGCACCGGGCATCGCCCAGCATCGCCCCGACGCGTCGGCCTTCGCGCCGACGCGTCGACCAGGGAAGGTCTGCAAGAACTTCGAGCGGACCACGGGTGCGCCGACGCTGACGAAGATGTTCGTCGCCCGAAGACCTGGCGGGGCGAAGCAGCGTTGGCGGGGCGTAGCAGCGTAGCCAAAGCTGCGAAGCTGGAGACGGGAGTCACGGGTTGGAATGGCTGAGGGGAAGTGACCTGATTGTGAAATTCCCACTTTTGTTCGATGAAAGTGGATCTACTTTCGATTAATGTTCGATACAGTCAGGCTCAAGATGATCACACGAAGTAAAGGTCGTACAGGTTTCGCCAATACATGAAGCATAGTCGTCACCGCCTATGATCCGCCTTTGGTGATCGTTCCAATTTGAAGAAGGCCAAGTGCAAGGCCAAAGTCCTGCACAAGCCATGTCGAGCCTAGGCAGCTAGGCAATGTATACTATACCGACACCACGAAGACAGGAGACAATTCAGAATTCAGAATAAGGGCTTGCTACGCAGAAAGCCCGGTCAGACCCCATATGCTAGAAGTCCAGCAATCCCATCTCCACTTTGGCACAATTGGCTGCCCTAGTAGCGTCCGATCGCTCCGTTCGTAGCGATGCTCTCCAAACAGCTTCCACCAAGCTCAGTGGAGCCGAGGATGTGCGGACAGTGGGTCAAGTTCGCCTAGGCGGAGATGCCGCCTCTTCCTGGCCGTTGGCATATTCTCCTGAGCACCCAAGATTCCTGAATTTGCGGGTTTTGGGTGGCTCAACATGACTCAACACCTGAGTAGTTGGCATTTGTTGGCTTATATAATCTGTTTTGGAGTCTCTTAAAAACAAGATGCCTGCCCCAAGACTTGTGTGAAGCAAGAAAACGTTTCGGATTTAATCACTTCTGGAAGTGCAATTTTGTGCATCTCTTCTCTACTGCCCACATCTACTTGATGTACCCTTATACCAAGTAGTCCTTCTTCCTATAGTGGGCCCCCCTTGGTCAATGATGTATCATTGATGCATCGGCGATGGCCTCCAACCCACTAGCGATGGCCTCCAACCTATCTATCCAGTGTCCATCCAGGCTTGAACTATTCCTGGCAGATCCTTCCGCCTGTAGAAGCCCCGAGCTCGGTTGCCCCTCGATGCCGGGGCATGGAAATGCGGCTGGTTTGAGCAGTATGTAGTGTAGAGAATCACATTCAAAACATCTCCCAAAGTTCACCCAGAGCCCCCGCCCGCCCCGAAGAGCTACATACCATAAATCATCATAAATCCTTTTTGTAAGCTTCGGCCAGCACCTTGTTTTGCTTTTGTGGAGGAAGCAAAGATCCTCAGTTGGTTCTGCTCAAAAGCTGGTTTGAACATGCTTAGGGTTGTTGAACTGATTGCTGCTTGGTTCACACAACTTCACAAGACTGCAAGAAAAAACACTGTGTTCTTTCAAGTTGTTTTCTTTTCTTTTTTCGGTTCAATCTGTGTCCGGCTGTACCCTCTTGCTCCTTGCACCCATTCCCTAGGCTGGGAAGGATTGTTCCTCGGTGGCATCGATGCGAAGCATCGACCGCACAGTGAAGTCGATCGTCGATCGAGTCACAGGCCCAAGGAAGCTTCTGTAGCGCCAGGAGCCCCGTTTGTAGCGTTCTTGTTACTAGCGGCCCCCAACCTACTAGCGATGGCCTCCAAGTCTGGCTAAGGGTCTTTTGGTGCCAAGATGTAGAAAAAGACCGACATACTGACATTCTTGGTCATCTTGATCGGGCCATTGGGCTCTTGTCAACGTAGACAAAGATGTTCAGATGTGTTTGGGTCCGGACTATGTGTGGCAGTTGTTTGTAGGAAGTCAAGTTCTACTCTTCTCCCAACGTTGTCATGTCGCATGTAGCCCTTTCAACAGGCAGTTAAACTTGTATAATTGATCATGAGAGCTTCTTCTTCCGTTCGTAGTGTCCTTGCTCCGTTCGTAGCGATGCCAGGAGCCCCGTTCGTAGCAAACATGGTTCCTCTTAGATTCGATTTTCCTTCGCTGGTGTGTCGGTGTGAATCCGATAATCATGTGTCGCTGCAGTGGTTGAAAAATATCTTAGATTGATAGTCAGGTTCTCATTCTGATTGCAGTGAGGCATCAATAGATTGGCCATGGCCGGGGGGCTCAGAGATTGTTCAATCTCCAGCCCATTTGGTCAAATGAGTCCTGGTCTGGCGAATTTGGAGCTATGTTGGTTGGGAGCCGGGGGAAAAAGCCAACACCCAGCTAGGTCGACAAGTCACCATCACAGAGTAGGAGGCAAATCTCATGGTTGTTTGAGGAGAACCACTGCACACTCAAATCAACAGCAAGGGGTTCACGCCCGAATGTGGACATGTCACATGTCATTCCATATCATATCATATCGCAAAACAATATATTTTGGGTCTGTCCCATTACCTGTAACAGTCAGTAAAAACCATTATCACTATTGGACAAGGCCTACAACCTAACCATCATGATCCTTACAGGTAATAGGATAGACCAGATATACCCCAAATCATCATTCTCTATTCCCTTGACAGGTCCCACAACCACCTTCCACCCGGGCGCCGTCGCGTCGGCGAGTGCGCCAGGTGGGTTTCGGCCCCAAGGAGCCGCCCTTCGACCGGTACCCAGCACCGCCCATCAGGCGTGACCGACCGAACACCGGTGAGTGGACGGGGTGTCACCGGTTTGTTGAACGGGGCTGCTGAGTGGACGGGGTGCCGAAGTGCAAGAACTTCTACTGAAGGGATGTCGTGTTCACTTCGACTCTGGGAGAGAACGTGTTTTTTGGGGGCTGGTTTTCTTTGCGGTTGGTCAAGGAAGACGCCGCTGGTGGAGCGATCGACACCGGTTTTTTTTCGACGCCGGTGGAAGTGGGAAGAAAGGTGTGGTCTCTTCTCCCCAATTGGAAGAAAGGAACCGAATAGGGATGGCCTCCAACCTGCTAACGATGGCCGGAGAGAATGTGGAAGTGATGGACGGAGAGAATCACCGAACCGAAGGTGCGAACGAATAGATCCTCTAGGGATTCGTGGACATTCTTGGACTCTGGGTGGGCGTAGTTTGATGGTTTCTGCCGCAACGTGGGGCGTCGTAGGTCCCCGATCGCGGCCTTGTTTTTGAAGACGAGGGTTGATGAGTCTTTTTAGATGCCCCTGGTGTTTCAGCCCCTTTGTCGTCCCCTTGTATCCTTGGGTGGCCCGAGAAAAGAGGAGTAATTAGATCTCTTTCCTTCCCACGGTCAACTGGAATCAACCTGACAGACGTTTAAACTGTGTGGAGGTGATAACCAAGTGAGAGCTGCAGATCCCTTTTCCATGGCACTTGGGGCGAGGCAGCTGCTCGCAAGCGAACTGGCGCTGCACCCACCGACTAGGCGGGGGACGCTTACTATAGGGCTTTGTGAGCAGCTGACAAATTGGGATGAACACCAGAGAGGATCATAGAGGACTTTTTGGGAAGAACGCGTTCTTTTAGTTTTCGGACAAGTTCATTCTCAATCGGTTCCCCCTCCGCGATCAGTGCAACCCGCTTGTGGTTTGGAAGATGACGGCTTGCTTTGCACCCTCGGGCAATGTGTAAACTGTTCGATTGAAGGTTGCTAGTACTTATTGCCAGTGATTTTGTGGCGTTGAAGATATTTCAAGAACCCAGGCCTCACATGACTGTAGCCAGAAACAAATGGACTCCCAATCCAAACCCTCTCCCTTGTTAAATGGCAGTTGCAAAGCTTAAAGCAATTGAGACGGGAATGACTGTTTGCATAGAGGATAGACAGCAGGTTGACAATGGCCCATATCATGAGTGTCACAAGATGCTTGTCAAGCATCGGATTTTTCATGAGTGTCACAAGATACTTATAGAGAGGCGGATCAGAACACTGAATGGCCACTGGTTTTGTCTCAACAAACTGGCTGCAGTCCATGTCGGAACGTTTGAGAAGTATGGGCATTTCGACGGGCAATTCAGCTGCAATTACAAACAGGCTCCCTCGGGTTCCTGTGTCTCAATGCACATCCCCGAGCACAGGCTACTGGACACAGGGGTGGGCCTCTCAATCTTGTATGAAGGTCTCCCTCGTACCACCCAAATGTCTCCTTCTCGTGAAGGCTGTTGAATACCACGGGGTGGACCATCAGCGTTCAGAACATGTCCTGCGACTTGCGGAAGGCCATTGAAGGGGAGAAGGGGTCGAAATGTGCCAGGTGAGCACGGCGAAATGGTCGGATTTTGGGGGTTTTCCCTGAGCCAAGGGGGCATGCAGGAGCTGCAGAGTACATGGCTCAATTCCTGTTCTAAGAATCGCAGTTTTGAATAATTTGTTTGGTACAAGGGAAAATGCCAATGAGGGACCAGTTGCCAAGAGAATGTGACCCGCTTTCCAACTCGAAGGTGGGACTTTGATCATCCAACTGAGTTCTGCAGAGATATGGACGGGGCAACAGTCAAAATGCAATTGTTACATGTGAAAAGATCTATGACGTCCGGTGCCGTCCGGTGCCGGTGTGCCGTCTTCGGCCGGTGCATCGGCAGGTGACCAAGCTAGCGAGGCACTTGTTCCTAGTAGCGTCCTTGTTACTACTAGTAAGGCCAGGAGCCCCTAGTAGCTTCTTGCTCCTAGTAGTAAGGCACTTGTTTCTAATAGCTTCTTGTTACTACTAGTAAGGCACTTGTTCCTAGTAGCGTGGCACTTGTTACTAGTTCGGCAGGTGACCAAGCATTGGAACCACACCAGGAGTATTGATGTTTTCCCAACAGAAGAGCCACTCGGCCGGGAAGACGAGCGGTGAGCGGAGGGGACATTCGTCGAAAAAAGGTCTCGTGCGAAGAGGATTACAGGAGTTGGCGTTGTTTTGTTCCTCATGCTTGCTAGATCTGTCAGATCTTGACCCTGTAGGAATCCAGCCTGAGAGATGATTCATGATGCCTTTCCACATCCCTTGGACCAACCCATTGTGCGCCAAATCAGCTGTTCATCTTCACTGCACTTTGTGTGGTTTGCATGTCCTGCAGGGTCGAACCGCTTTCGAGCCGCTTCTCCGCTCGGTCTGGGCGCCAAGGCCCGAGTGCTTGGGCTCTGATAGTGTGACCTGGGAGCCCAATCTCGAAGGTGTGGATCGCAGGGCGCCGAGGATTTCGTCAGGCTTTTAGCAGAGGTCCAAATCAATATAGTTCAATGGATTGGGTGGGCTAGGGCTGTGGCGCCCTAAATGAGCGCCCCTACCCTGATACATTGTAGATGGATGACCGCCCCTCGTTTACGCTCTCGTAGGGCGGCGTGTAAATGCGAAACATGTGCGAGCCCATGGACCAACACCAAGCTTCTTAGCGGTTTTGTTTGAACCAGCAGCGGCCATTAAATTTACTTTAATTTAATTCTAATAGCAAACATTGTTACTACTAGTAAGGCACCTGTTGCTACTAGCGTGGCACCTGTTACTACTTGCGGCCATGTTTCTAGCGTTTGGAAGTCTACGGGGAACCGGCAGCGCCGACGGCAAACGACGGCTAGGCCACTCTCCGACGGAGAACGGCTACTCTCCGCTTTCGATTCCTTCTTTCGAATTGGTGTGGGAGCGAAAGATGGCCGCTTCCTTAAGGAAGTCATATTCCTTGAAAAGCTGGGTTATCCGGAGTCATGCTTTTTGACGGGTAGGATGCTACTTCTCAGTGACTGTTAAGTAGTCAAGGATCCCTCTTTGCACCAGAAGCGGCCGCCAGGTGAGTTTGATGTGGCCAACGTGGGCAATTGCAACACCGCCGGGGAGTCAAAAGGAAGCAGAGCGGTAGATGCCGTAGTACTTCCCCGGAGAAACCATGACGAAATGGGTGAGAGCAGATCATAGAGAGAACTGGTAGATGTGGTAAAACAGAATTCTGAGGTGTTGCTGCAAACAACTCGTTTTCGTTGGTTTTTCAGCAACGGTACTAGTAGTAATGGTTTTGTTACTAGTAGCGTCCTTGCTCCTAGTAGTACGCCAGGAGCCCCTAGTAGCGTCCTTGCTCCTAGTAGCGATGCCAGCAGCCCCTAGTAACGAACCTTGTTACTAGTAGTAGACGCCAAACACATTCCTGAAGCAGCAGGTCCATGTTTCAATTCGCAGCGAGGCCGGGTCCAATGCCTGCGTCTGCGCTGCGCTGCCCAGCTGCGAGTGGGTCGGGCGCCCAGCGGATCGCTTCGGTTGGAAGAAATCCTGCACCTGAAAATGGATCATATCGCATTTGCACTAGGGGCTCCTGGCCCTACTACTAGGAGCAAGAAGCTACTAGGAGCAAAGGGCATTGCTACTAGGAGCAAGGACGCTCTTAGGTTGGAGGCCATTGCTATTGTTTGCAGGGTGTCAGATATCGCAGGTGCTGCAGGACTTCAATACGGGTCTTGGATCCATTCCACCCCAAACGTCAGACACTTCGGCGACGCTCGGCCACGCTTCCGGCACCAAGGTGCCAAGTGTCAATGGAATCTCCACATGCGTTTGGCGGCCAAGAGCAACGACTTTGAAGGATGGTAAGAAAGAATTAGAGCAGCAAAGACGTTTTTAGATGCTATTAGGTTGGAGGCCATCGCTACAGGTTGGAGGCCATCGCTTTTGGCCATCATTGCTATTGGAAACAAAGGTCCAATATTTCTTCTGCTATTAGGTTGGAGGACACGGTTTCGATTTAGCAGCGTAGCAGCATAGCTAGTCCAACGAACCTGCGAGACTTTGAATTTTCGAGCAATGGTGGATTATCTCTTCAGTGTGCTTCAGACACAGTCGACAGATGGTTGCTAGGTGAATGGTACACTTGTGCATCCATTTGGATGCAACAAAATGAAAGCTATAGGAACAATTACGATGCATCCATTGACTGGTGCTGACTTCGATGAACCCATCCAACCAAATCTTCGATGAACCTTACTAGGAGCGATCGGACGCTACTTTTTGCATCCTCCACATAAACATTGAAAAAAGGGACCCCCCCAGACCCCCCCAGACCCCCCAGCACATCCGAAGGAACGACTCCGCTTTCGAACCCGGCTTCACCGAAAAAAGGCTCCCGTGGAAAGCGCCCGGTTCGCCCAAGGTGCACACCGCTTTGCCCGGAGTTCCGTGCACTGCATGTGCCTTACAGGCGTGGACATGGATGTGAAGATGACATTTTTACATGAACCGGTTTGTGTGGGTAATTTTTGTTGGGGGATGTTGATGGAAAAAGGCCATGCAAAATGGATTTTTGACAATGCGATGTTGATGGAAGAGCCCCAGCACCACTGATTGAGATCTATTCAGAACGCTTGGGTGTTGTCCATGCTCTCGCAGTGAGGGTGAGTTTCCAACGTTCAAGGCGAAATGTGTCCTCACGGATGAGAAGCTTTGCGAGATGAAGTCCACCCCATCTGCACGGGCACTCGACATAGATTCCGCATGTTCCATGAGAACTCCAATAAGGATCGCCTCAAATGCGAAGATGAGGACTTCCACTCTGCTTCCTCTCAGCAATGGGCATTAGGGTCTTTTTTGACAACCGGAAGTTCGTAAGATTTGGAGATAAGATCTTGCTAGCTGTCCCAAAAACGCACCAACGTTCACCCACTCAGCGGTGAGCTGTCATCGAGTGGCTCAGATTGGGGGCTCTGAGAGGCTCAATACTGCTGAAACAGGCTGCATAGCAACATATCTCCACATCTCAATGTCGTCTCGACCATTCAATTCAAAACACACGAGACGAAGTTTGGCCTCTTTCGTTCAAGAAGAAGCATTTGACATCCTAGGCCTGCGTGCTAGCCGGCGCTGGTTGCAATTGGAACATGGTGCGGTTGCAACCAGTCGCGGACGTCTTGTGGGAGGGGTGTAGTGACCGAAGGAGCTGGTAGCAAACAATCAATTGACAGTGGAACGGAAATTGAACATGGGCTTTGGCCAATATGTTTTATTCGTTTCAGATGGTTCAATGGGGGAACACATCATCCTTTGGCAAGAGTCCAAGAGTGTGGATGTGGGGATTATTGTTTATTTGGTTGTTGCTCATTCGTCTTCTTTGCCACAATCAAAACAGCTCAGCAGTATGGTATCCTCTGTGGTTTAGGGGGCGAAGAGATTCAGAAAAACAACGAGCATGGCAAATTTGGCCTTGATGATCGCCCCCGTTTTTGACGAACCCTACTGGCCAAGTATTAGGAGCCCTCTTTCTTCCTGCCGGATGAGTCTCTCAGCGTTGCGCGTCGTGGAGCGTCGTCGTCGCGCCAGGTGCGAGGAGTTTGCGAACTGAATCCTGCCGGAGGGACCCCATGTGGGGAAGCCCACGACGAGCAGCGCCAGCAGCTTGCGCGCTGGCTTGCAGCGTGCGGCATAAGTGCCATGGGAGAGTTGATGGGAGGAAAGCATTTGGACGACATGTGATTCTGAACGTAACAAATAAGGGAAAGAAAACGTCTAGAAGGTCTAAAGAGAAACAAAGGTCAGAAAAAAGGACTACGGGGCTCTCCATCGCTGCTTGGCTCGGAATTCCCAGGCATCGCCTGCCCACGGCAGTACTTTTGCAGCGTGCCGACGGAGAGCCTGGCGAGTTTGTCGATGGTGGTCGAGTAATTGGCATGGTTGTCAAGAATCGATGACTAAGCGACGAGTCGACAGTGAATAGGTGTACCACAGTGGTACTACCACTAGGAGAAACAACTCAAGAAAGCTTCTGTTTTAAACACCGAGTTGGGAAGACCAGCTTTTACCAAGTTGCAACGTGGATGCTTTCCGAAATACAATGCTAGTCCTCTCAAGCCACCCTGCACCCATGCCTGTGCCATGCCTAAACCTTGCTTCGCCGCCAGATCCGGTCCAAGTCTCCGCAAAACCTGGCAGTCATGGGTCTGCGGCCGCCTCGGACACTGAGCTGAGGCAAAGGCCGGGCCCACATCCAATGAAGGGAGGTGACGAAGACGTTTCAAAGAGTCTTCAAGAGCCACCCATCAGTTCCAATAGCCACGTGAAGAGTTACTATATAGTAGCTTCTTGTTCCTAGTAGTATGGCCAGGAGCGATGCCCTTTGTTACTAGTAGCTTCTTGTTCCGTGTCTTCAGAGTTCGCTTCCTTTTTCGCAAAACCGAGGAAGGAAGTGGGTTGGCTGCTTAACATGACTTTCGATCGGCCGGGTGCCTCAGACGAGTCATGAGTCACCACGGACCCATCGGAGACGAGTAGCGGCCTCCAACCTAATAGCAAACAATTTGCTACTAGTAACTAGTAGCTTCTTGCTCCTAGTAGTAAGGCCAGGAGCCCCTAGTAGCGTCCTTGCTCCTAGTAGCGATGCCCTTGCTACTAGTAGCAAGAGTAGGTTCTTGCTACTAGTAGCTTCTTGTTACCAGTGGCGATGCGCTTGTGACTAGTAGCGATGCACTTGTTAGTATATTAGACCTTTCTTCTTTTTCTTATTCCTTTGTTTCTACTAGCGGTGGCCTCCAACCTAAGAGCGATGGCCTCCAACCTACTAGGAAAGCGGGAACAGTCTTGATATGTCATGACGTATGTCTTTGTCTCTTGGAAATGAACATATGAGCCAACTGAAAAGCATCTCAAAGATACTGGACACATTAGGAAACTGGTTTGGAGAGGCCTTCGTTTTGTTTCTAGTTCTGTGTCTTCGCCCCAGCCCCCACCTCAGCCCAACGTGTCAAGCCGAGCTCAGGGAGATGGAGTTTATGCACATAGGCGCGGCCGAGCTCAGGGAGATGGCATAAGGAACCCGATAGAAATGGCCTCCAACCTACTGGCGATGGCCTCCACCCTGGGAGCGATGGCCTCCAACCTAGTAGCAAAGAATTCTTGCTCTCTTTTTTTGCTTTGTTCCTCGCGCAAAAGTTGGTAAGTTTGTCAGTCTAATTCCGTTCGAAGAGGTTTGGTTTACAGAGCCTTGTGAGACACACCGTGACTTCTGCCAGGCATTGGCTCGGGCGTGCTGATGCAGCGCCGGCCTTAGGGTGTTGGAAGTGGTTTTCCCAGAATGCAAGCGATGCTCCTAGTAGCGATGCCCTTTGCTCCTAGTAGCTTCTTCTTACTAGTAGCGAGGCCAGGAGCCCCTAGTAACGTCCGATCGCTCCTAGTAGCTTCCCAGAATGCAAGCCTTGGGATAGCGCATTGATCCTATGGGCCCTATGAGTTGGGCTTGCAAGTGTCCAACTCGAAAACATGTACCCAAGGACGCTGGGTTTTGATGCTCGAAACCAAAACCTGCGAAAAAAGCACGTTGCTATTTGGCACCACCAGCGATAAGTTTTTGGATGACGACGACGACCATGACTATGACTAAATTGACTAAATCTATTAAAATCAGCAAATTGATGACTCGCATCACAGCGGACCCTGGGCTGTCAGAAAAAAGCCCAGGTGTCGCGCCACTCGCCCGCAGGGGTGCTTAGCCCTTTGCTGTTAGATCTATCTGTCGCACTGAGGCCACGTACTAGAGTCTTGCACTTGGTAAGTGGTAGTGAGGTAGTAAAGAAGTTTTTTTGTGACCCATTTTCACATGGAATGGGAACATGGTGAGAAGATTCAATCCGATTCCATGTAAACAAGAGTAAAGTACCCCGCAATCCAGCTTGGGAGTGGTTCCATCAGGAAAATCACTGTGCCATCCCAGCTGTTCTTGAGAGCAGCTTTCTTGATGTGACTATAGTTCAAAAACCAACCTTTTTGTTGAGTCCACCATAAACATGGTTCTCCTTCCAAAGGGGGGGACTGTGCCCCAGAGCTTGTGGTGTCTCAACCAGCGTTTGGACTCCATGCTAGAATGGGTCGCGTTTTGGTGGTTTTCAGTGTCAAAGAAGCAGCGTTTTTTCTGAGGGGTGACTGGCCTCCAACCTTTGAGTTGCCCTACAACAAGTTGGCTTGGCGCCTCAGGGGACTTGGTCCAAAAAGAAGTGCCCGCACAGTAGACTAAAGCCACTTGGTCCCAGAAAACTCCTTTTGAAACATAGATTCTGGCCCTGCCAGTGATGGAACAGACCCCCCCCAAAAGTCTCAATCAACGTTCCACCCCAGGGGGGCTCTGAAAAACTGAGATCCGGCTCTGTGCCGACCGAGGAGATTGATGGGAACGTCTTGCGCATCAACGTCTTCGGTTTGCCCAACGAGGAGCAGCGCGACTGCGACCTGGTGCCTCGGCCGGCCGGAATTCGGAAGACGGGGGTGGTAAAGGTGCTGTGTCTCAAAGGGTCTGAGACTTGGCCAATGACATCAAGTAGAATGGGTAATGAACACAAGCTAATGTTTCTAGCTAATGGCCCAATGGCCACAAGGTGGGCACTTGTGAAGCTAGGACGCAAGAGGAAAAAGGATGAAACCTGTTTGGGTTTGGAGAGTCTGGCAGTCGGCCCAGGTCATCTCCGACAGTGCGGTGGGCCTTGGCGTGTTTTTGGGGATCTGGGGTCTTTGGGTTTAGAATAGGGGAGCGGAGGGGGTCCAGGCGTGGATTTTAAGGATTTGATTCGGTTCGACTGGTGATATCAGTGAAGGACTTGTTTGGGCCATGGTCAACTGGCTGGAGAACATGAGACCTGTCGCTCAATGAGCCCCCAGCAACAGAATGCTTCACAGCCAGTGAACTCTAGACTCCAGCATGACAAGCGTACTCCAACATAGAAGATGCGTACTCCAACAGAATGACAAGGACCACGACATCCTCAACAATCCCCGATCTGTGACTGAACCAGTAGTAGCGTCCTTGCTCATAGCGATGGCCTCCACCTAGTAGCGTCCTTGTTACTAGTAGTAAGGCCAGGAGCCCCTAGTAGCGTCCTTGTTACTAGTAGTAAGAATGCTCCTGGTAGCGATGCCAGAAGCCCCTATTAGCTTCTTGCTCCTAGTAGCGTCCTTCTGAACGACGCCACGATGCTGCCAGGTCCGTGACTCCTCCTCACTCTTGCCGTACAATGGAATGATGGCCCGCTCGCTGGGCGGTTGGTCGGTTGGTCGGAGACACGGAGGTGGCTGTGATTGAAGCAACTCAAAGGCCGCAGGCTGCAAGGAGGGCTGCGAAGGCTGTTGGATTTGTTGGGTGTTTGTTTTTCCCATTTCTTCATTTCTCCAGTAATGATGTCATATGAGTCATATGTGATATGACTTCCCAGTTCTCAGACATCAGACTCGGCCAAGTTCCACAGCCCACCGAGTAGTACGGCCCTATTCACTGCCTCCTCCCTGTTGGCGCAGGACAACGTGGTCTACGTGACATTGCCGGATGGCGTTCCACCGGAGGTGTGCGGTGGTTCCGACATGTGTGAACGGCTTGGGAAAAAGGGATGACTTCATCTGGGTGGAAGCAGGTTTGCCTCAAAAAGGCATACCAAAAACCTAAGGCCAGGCGTGCCACACCCGAAGGCCTTGCAAGGGATTCTGCAACAAACCCACCTTCAGCTGCTCAGGCATGTATGGATGCCGCTGTGTCTTGGCTTGGAGGGGCCCCTTGAGCGACCACACGGTCGCGGATCGCACTGCGTGAGCGATGGAAAGATAAGGTGCTGCTGTGCGCCTTGCTTGGACCTTGTTAGATCTCGGATCGTCAGATCCTTCCTTTTTGATTGAGCCCAATAGTCGCTACCAGTGCACACTCCGTGCATTGGTAGCGGAGCAGCTGTTGCTGACTCCAGGGATCGCTACTACTTGTTTGTGGACCGCCTCGGCACGTTCGGCGACCCTTTGCCCCTGACTGGTGGCGGACCTTGCTAGCACTACCTCTAAGAGGACTTCCTTGTGACTGGCACTACTTTTTGCACTTCATTTCTCCTTGTGGACCCCTTTGTTTTGTATTTTCTCCACCTCTGTCTCAACAATGGCAGAGAAAGAAGGTCACATCCCAGCTTGGGATGGCCGTGCACAAACATGGCGACGATACACCAAAGAAGTCGTCTGGTATGTGAGATCGACTCCAACTCACAAGAGACAGTACTGTGCCACTCGACTTCTCTCTCGGCTTACAGGGCCGGCACGGCTACTTGCAATGTCATGGGTTGATCTCAATCTCGATCATCCAGATGGTGTACGTGAACTTCTCCAGCGACTTGCCGCTTCGCCCTTGGTGCGGCAGAGCCTGCCAAATGCGGCAGCCATTTGCCAGCAATACTTTCAGTTCCATCGGAAGCCCTCAGAATCCATCCAGTCATTCCTTGTGCGAGAAGCTTTGGGCTACACTGAATTCGTGGAGGCCTTAGTCCGCCTCTATGAGGACAAACATGGTGTCCGTCAGGAAGACAAGGACTATGGTCTGCCCAAGGCCGATGAGTTGGAAGAGTGGAATGAATGGGAAGAAGGAAATACCGATTCTCCTCATAGTTCTCGACGCCGTTCTGCTCGAGCTGCACATGCTTCAGAATATGGCGACGCTCCCTGGCCTGATGAAGAAGACCCCTTGCAGCCGGAAAGCGGCTCACCTTGGCATGCTTCCACTGTGCCCTCACGTCAGTCCGTTGGAGTTCAACCGAGCACCAGTGGACCTCCGGAATTATCCTGGACCGACAGTTTTGTCCTGGGCGTTCTTCGTGGGTTCCGACTGCTGCAGTCCTCAGGCCTGACGCCGGAGGATAAGCGAGATATCATCAGCACCACTCGTGGCAGTCTTGAGTTCGATGTGGTGGCAAGAGCTCTCCAGACTCTATGGGATGAACAATTCCTGGGCCGGCAGAATAACACCTACCAGAACCACATGCTTGAGGAGCACGACGCTCTTGTGGCTGAGAATGGTGACTGGTCCTGGGCACTACATGGTGACTCATGGGAGTCTGGTGGCTGGGAGGATTGGTCTGATCCTCATTCGCAGTACTATGCTGCGGACTGGACTGACTATGATTGGGAGGACGCTCATGTACAAGAAGCTTCTGCTGAGGACACTGAGGCCTTGAAGGAGGCTCAACAGGCTGAAAAGGTTGCTGAATCCTTGGCCGCAGAAGCTCAGAGAACTTGGAGCGAGGCCCAGAGGGCCACAGCTGCCTTGCGTCGAGATCGAGGGTTTGGACACGTTGTTGGTGCCCCTGGTAAAGGTGGAAAAGGACCCTGTTTCATTTGTGGTGGACCTCACTACTCCAAGGTATGCCCCGACAGACGTCATCCTTCCTACTCTAAGGGCTATAAGGGGAAGAATAGCTTCTACCAGTATGACTACAACCCTGAAGAGCTCTATTTTGTTGGGAAGGGCAAGGGCAAACAGAAGGGAAAGCACTCCACCTTCTTCGCCTCCAAGGGGAAGAAGGGAAAGGGGAAGTCATCTTCCTCGATGATGACACGGCCGCCTGTCAATGCCTATGCGGCCGATGAAGTTTTCATGGGCGCCTTAGAGATCGCTGAGGCTCACCGGGCGGAAACCGCCACGCCCCTAGAGGCCATGGGAGCCCACCAAGGTTTGCTTGATTGCGGTGCGACAGCTTCGGCTGGCCCCCAAGTTGCTGTCGAGAGCCTCATGAAGGCCATTCTGTCGAAAGACCACCAAGCTCAGATCGAGATCCAAAAGGATGAGAGACCATACTTTCGTTTCGGAAACGGTCGTTGGGGGCAAGCACTTTATCGTGTACATGTTTGTTCAAGGGCATCCGGTGAACCTCGCATCTTCCAACTATATGCGCTACCAAACCCTCCTGATCTTCATGATCCCAACTTTGATAGGTCTACGTTGGTTCCTATTTTGGTAGGGATGAGTCATTTGGCTGGGTCGTGTTCGTCGATGGCGGTGGACTTTCGAACTGGGATGGCCATGGACACCTTCAAGAATGAACCTGAAGCCTATAGACTTCCAAGCAACCGCAAGGGCCACTATATCCTGGATATTGTCAACTACCTCACTGGGGGACGTGAGATTCTTGAAGGTCATGCAGCCATCCGAGTGACGTCGAGCCGAACTTCGAGTCAAGCGGATCTGCACGTGTTAGAGTTTCATCCTCTTGAGCATTATGATGGTTTTGTCCAACAGCCTGTAGAGATTTCAGAAGTTGATTTGCAGCATTCTCTTCATTGTCTTCAACGTTTGCATGAGCACAGTCGTCAACTCTCCAATGCTTCAGCTGTTTTTCAGACCTCAATGCGATCATCCGTGATCCTTGAACCCAATTCGCCTCCTGCTGGCAATCATGTCGGGAAAGGGCACTCCCTCCGATCTCGTGGTGGCGGCCATCAAGGCATCGACGCCCAAGAAGAAGGAGACAGCTCCCCTCGACCACGACCGCTCCTTCAAGATGGACACAAGGGATCCTCGTGCCAGCAGCACTCAGTGGCCGTGCTTCGCCAAACATGTTCCGGCCACCATGAAGTACAACCCTCACGGAGCATGGATCAACTGCGCAGTCTGCCATGTCCGCCTGGAGTACATCCCTCGTGTGGGCTCTCCGGGACAACACACCAAGCTCGACAATCCGGCCATGGTCAAGCGCATGCTCAAGGAGCTCTACGACCTGATGGACGGAGAATCACCGACAGAGGACATCTGTCGTGCGATGCAAGCCAAGATCGACGCGGAGGAGGCCTTGCTCAAGCTGGTGGCCGATGCCAAGAAGTCACCACCGAAGACACCTCCGTCGACGGGCTACAAGACACCAGTGCAGGACCTGACCCTCTCCATGAGTCAGCGACCAAGCTCCCCGGCTCCCTCCTGGAACATGGTTCATGCGGTGACGGGCACTCAGTCACCGAGTTCCGAGGATTCGGGACCTCTCACCGGAGCCGACATGGAGAAGCTGCTGACCGAGGAAGAGAAGATTCGTCTTGCCGCCCTTCTACGAGATCGAAAGGCCGACGCAATGTCAAGTGGGGATCTCATGAATCCCAACCTGTTCGAAGCAGCGTGAGAGAAGAGAAGACCGCTCCGTTGACCCATCACCTCGGAGCAAAGGTCATGATGATGGTTATGACCTTGACCTCAACTATGACAGCTGCTGCTATGGATCTATGTGTTGATGGTCGTGATGGTCTTTGGGAAGTTGCTTGTGCTCCTCACAGCTGGCTCTCCGAAGCTTCTATGCAGCATGGCATCCCTTCTCGCCGCATCAATTTGGCAGAAGGCTACGACCTGTACCAAGAGGAGACATGGCATCTTTTGTCTCAACTTCATCGCAAGCACCGTCCTCGCAAGATCTGGCTCTCTTTACCATGCACCAAGTTCTGCAAATGGACCTTCCTCAACTACTCCACGCCAGAACGAAAACTACTTCTTCGTTCCCATCAAAGGCGTGAACGAAAGATGCTCTGGAACATGAACCAGTTCCTCAAGAAGGCCATGGATGCAGACCCATCAATGCATGTGTATTTTGAATGGACCCATCCTTGTCAGGGTTGGAGTGAAGCACCTATGATCGACCTCGAGCGCTATTTCCATGAGAATGACCTCTTCTGGCAAGGTTGCCGTGTAGACGGGTGTGTCTATGGTATGCGCAACCTGAAGGACACTGACTTCATTAAGAAGAGTTGGAAGATCATGACCACCGATGAGTACTTCTGGAAGATCTATCGGGCAAAGACTTGTGGTGGTGGTCACAGTCACAGTTGGATCCAAGGAGCAGAGACTGCCCGATCTGCCTATTATCCTTGGAAGCTATGTCAAGCTATTGCTCGCACTTGGCGGCAGCAATTCCTCTCCGACAAGAATGTCAACTACCTCTTCCGAAACTATGACAAGCCTACAACGGTGCAGGACCTCTTGGCTGCTGAAGAAGAGGCACTACAGCCTGAACTACCTCAAGAAGATGATCTTCTTCCACGAGTACCAGACTATGCTGATGGCATCATTCCTTCCAATGCAGAACGTCAACAATGGCAAGCTAAGGTAGCGCGATTCCACAAGGCCGCTGGACATCCCACGAATGCCAACCTGGCCCGAATTGTGAAGGAAGCCAATCAACCACAGTGGAAGATCGACCTGGTCAAGAATTTTTCCTGTCCAGCATGTGAAGCACTACGACCTGGTGGTCAGAGCTCTAAGATGGTTCCTCCAGCCTCTACTCATGCTCTTCCAAAGGCGTGGCAAGTGGTTGGAATGGATACTTCCGAATGGCAGGTGCCCAACCAGAAGGTCAAGCTCAAATTCCTTCTGATGGTCAACTTGGCGACCAAACTTCGGGTGGTGCATGTGATAAAGGAGTACTCCAGCCTCACCATGGATGGAGAGAGCGCCGAGGATGTGATCCACGGCCTGACTGAAAAGTGGCTTGCACACTTCCCAAAACCTGAGTTGATCGTGTGCGACAATGGCATGGGCTTCACCGCGGACAAGTTCAACAAGTTCATGCAGGACCTCAACATCTACATGCACTTTCCTCCTGAGAAGGAGCCTTGGGCACATGGCATTGTTGAAGCTGCCATCCAAGACGTCAAGCACACCGCGAGTGCCATCCAGCTAGATGATTCTACTTTGAGCCCTCGTATGACCTTGGTGCTGGCGACTGCTGCCTTGAACAATACCGAGTACACTGCTGGCTACACCGCCAACCAATGGGCATGTGGAAAGATGTTCAACATGTCCGATGAGGACACTCGAACCTTTCAGAATGCAGACCCTTCTCACGAGTTCGCCAAGCTGATTCAACAACGACAAGCTGCTGAAGAAGTGGCCACTCGCACTCGAGCCAAGAGAGTGCTCTCCAAATTGAGCAACACCATCGTCCGTCAACCTCTCAGAAACTTCAACCCCATGGACATGGTCATGGTTTGGCGACGGCTCCAACCCACCTTGATTCACAAGGGTGTTCGTGGAGGTCTCAAGAAGGCTGCCAAGCCTCGATGGATTGGACCTGGAAGAGTTGTTTTTCAAGAGCTACTTCCTCATCAAGAAGAAGGAGATCACCGACGGCATATCTTGTGGGTTCTGGTGGGCAGCAAGATGCTTCGTTGCTCAGTGCACTCTGTTCGACCTGTCACTGAGACTGAGCGCTTCACCTACGAGATCACCACCGACGAGGACCCTTCTCAGTGGAAGTCTCTCGCAGACATCCTGCCAAAGCGAGAGTATGTGGACATTGTGGATGAAGTCCCCAATGAAGAAGACCGAGAACTACCAGATCTTCCCGACGAGCCCGACAACACCACCTATGTGCCTATCCCAAGGGCCAAGCATAAGCAGACCTTTGGTCCTGATGAGTATGTCAAGGTGCACCGCTCTTCGCCCCTTGGCTTGGATTCCTCCTCCTCTGCGAATCCAAAGGTGAAGCATTGGATTCCGCCGCCACCGGCACCTGACCTTGAGTACACTCCATCTGTTGCTCCCGAACCAGGTGAACATGAAGATGATCTACCAGAAGCTGAAGTTGGTGCTGACACCACTGAGGTCAGCGTGAGAGAGAAGCGTGAAGTCAATGACTATGACCGGGAAGTTGAACGACCTCCCAAGAAATCCAAAGATGAAGAGTCTCACAAGAAAGCTCGCTCCAGCTATGACTTGGGCTGGATAGATCTTTTGCGGGCCGATGTTGACAATGAGGCGCAGGACTTTGAGCTCTACCAGGCTTTCCAAGAGACTGAAGAGTTCCTTTGCTTTGAGCTGGACATCTCATTTGACTCCAACAGACAACGCAAACAGTTCCTGCACAACCCTGTCAGCTACCTGGTTAAGAAGCTCAACTCCTCTGAGGTGAAGTTGGAACGCCTTTCAGCTGCAGATCGTGAACTATTTCATCGAGCCAAGCTGAAGGAGGTGAATTCGTTCCTGAAGAATGCCGCTGTCAGGGCATGCTTGAATGATCAGGAGACGCGTGAGGCCTACACCAGCGGCAGAATCTTGAAAGCTCGATGGGTTCTGACTTGGAAACCCATTCCTCCAGATGAACTTCAAGAGGCCAAGCGTGAACGAGCTCTTCATCCAGACACCACCGTGCTGAATGAGTCAGCCACAGCTAAGGCCAAAGCACGCGTTGTACTACTTGGATATCAGCATCCATCTCTCCTTGATCGTGGCTTCAAAACTGCTGCTCCTGTTCAGAGTTTGGTTGGACGCCACCTGCTGTATGTCTTGAGCGTCTGGCACCAATGGGAACTACAAGGACTGGACCTTGCCACGGCTTTCCTTCAGACTCAGCCCACGGAGTCGGATGCAAAGATATGGACATCAGGTGTTGAAGAGTTGAAGACAGCACTCAATGTCCCCCAGGACACTCTGTTGCGCATCCTGCGCAATGTGTACGGCTCCACTACAGCTCCTCGAGGGCTTTGGCTCTCTCTACACAACAAGCTTACTGAGCTTAGAGCTGTTGCCGCTGTTGGCGAGCGTTGTCTATGGCTGTGGTTCAGCAAGACCGAGCTGGACTCCACTGGTCAATTTCCTCGTCTTCTCGGAGCAATGGGAGGACACGTTGACGACTTCCACCGTGTTGGTGATGTGAACAGCTCTGAGTGGCAGGCCATCTGCCAACGCATCGATGCTGCATACCAGTGGGGCAGTGTCAAGCGTGGATGCTACCGCCACGCAGGCACGGACATCACTTCTGTCCGGAAGCCTGATGGTCTTGTCGAGATCGAGGTGGACCAAGACTCCTACATCGAGACCCTTCAATTTGCAATGGTTGGCCATACAAACCCAACCGCAACTCTGCGCTCGATGCAACCTCCTGCTGAGCGATTTGGTGACCAATGGTCAGTTGGAGCACGCCAGGGAGATTCAGAACATGATCACTGAGATTCGCCTGGAATCTTACAAGCTTCGCTTCTTCAAACCCAAAGATGCTGAGCATTGGAGTGACCTGACCTTCACCACAATGGCCGACCAGTCGCACAACAACAGACCAGGTGGAAACTCCACCGGAGGTATGATCAGCCTGATCTCAGGACCCTCCTGTCGCTCCGGCCATGTCACTGAGTTCATGTTGGTGAACTGGCGCTGCTGGAAACTCAAACGTAAGGCGATTGCGTCAAACGACGCAGAAATACAGGCAGTGCTAGAATCCGAAGACTCCAACTTTCGGATGAGGCTCCTATGGACAGAGATCCACGGAGCAGGCCACCAAAGGCCAAAAGAGCGCCGCGACCTGGTGGAGGAGACGGAGAAGCAGGCCCGTCTTGTGAAAGGCATACTCTGCACCGACAGCCGTGGAGGCTACGACGCTGTGGAGATGAACGAATCTCCACTCCTTGGATTATCCAATATGAGGGCAGCGCTTCAGGCCTTTCAGTTGCGTGATAATCTGAGGAGAGCTGGGGCTGAACTTCGTTGGCTAGCTTCCGATTTCGACCTGGCCGACAGCCTCACAAAGCGCAAGGCTTCCTGTCGAGAAGGATTGGTCAAATTCCTTCAGACCAATCGCTGGAGCATCGCCTTCGATCCACAGTTCGTTGCAGCCAAAAGAAACAAAAAGACAGGCCACACCGCCGTCTCCAAAGTGGACAAAGCCATGGCATGGAATGAGGGTCATCATTTTGAGCCCTTTGACCTTTTTTGTAGTGACTCCTCCGAGCTGCACTATCTTCACACCTTCGCAGCTGATTTTCTCTTTTGGGGTGGTGCAACAAACCCACCTTCAGCTGCTCAGGCATGTATGGATGCCGCTGTGTCTTGGCTTGGAGGGGCCCCTTGAGCGACCACACGGTCGCGGATCGCACTGCGTGAGCGATGGAAAGATAAGGTGCTGCTGTGCGCCTTGCTTGGACCTTGTTAGATCTCGGATCGTCAGATCCTTCCTTTTTGATTGAGCCCAATAGTCGCTACCAGTGCACACTCCGTGCAGATTCTCCATTGAAGTCCGGTCCACAGGTGAACTCCTTCATCCCGGGGAACAGTGTCTGGAGCTCAGAGGATGGAAAGGCTCACAGTCTCGGTCAAACCGAAAGAAAGACAAAGAGGCAGGAGGCACATGCAGCAAGAACCCAGACACTTTGGAAAGGGGGCAGTCAACCTCCAAAGCTAATGTAAGATCATTGCAATTTTTGCACCCTTCGTTCATTGGTATTAGCAGCAAGAATGAATGCTGACAAGATCGATGGCCAAATATCCCAAGCTTGCGATAAGACTCACAAGACCTACATGCTTGCTTACTTGCTGAACATCCGAAACCATCAATGTTGATTATACCTCACCTGAACGCCGAGACTGCCGTATGTCCTGCCATATGTACAGTCAATGCAGAGATTTGTCTTGGCGCTTTGTGAGGCGACTGGCGTACCCGTGGTGGCTTGGAAAGCCGTTGGTTCAGCTTTGAGCTTTTCAGGGTTGGGATCAGCGATACAATCAAAAAGTCAGAGGCCCAACATAGACCCATATGGACCCCTGAAGGAAGGTGATGTCACACAAATTCACGTCGTTCCAAGAGGGGTCACTTCGATTTGTAGTGGGTGACATGTTGGAGAGCAAGAAGGACGCTACTAGGGGCTCCTGGCATCGCTACGAACGGAGCGATCGGACGCTACTAGGGGCTCCTGGCCGTACTACTAGGAACAATGTTTGCCCCCAGTAGCGTCCGATCGCTCCTAGTAGCGATGCGAGGAGCCCCCAGTAGCGTCCGATCGCTCCTAGTAGCGATGCGAGGGATCGCTCCTAGTAGCGATGCCAGGAGCCCCTAGTAGCTTCTTGTTACGGCACCTGTTACTACTAGCGTGGCACTTGTTTCTACTAGCTTCTTGTTACTACAATAAACGAGAACAGATCCTGGTGAACAATTGCTTTCCGGAATCTGCGGCCGTCTACGAGCACTCATCCGATGTGTTAGGCTGTCAGGTTCCTCAACTGAAATGAAACCGGTCCCTCGCATGGAGAAAAACGCAAGAGGTCACGAGTCATTTAATGACCCCTCCCTTCCCATAGAGGTGGGAATCATCACCGATCAGGTAGTTTGCGTCAAAATGATATTCAGTCACGTTGGTCACTCTCGACCATATTCGGTTCACAAACTGCGGAAAGGAACCCTGTTCATCCCAGCGGAGCTCTGGCAAGAATCGTTCGACATGGTCCCAATACGAAGACCAGAAAACATCCCATGTCTTCTGCACTGGATCCACAGTTGGATCCGACCGGCATTTGTTCATGGCCGACAAATGGCTGCAGAATGCGCAGGAAGACCAATTGCCAAGTCATTTACCTTACACGTAACCACACACGCCTAAGTGAGCATCAGTAAAAACGCTCGGACTGAGCCTGGCCAGCCGAGGACCCCCTCGTCCGCTTCTTCTTCAACGAAGAGATCCGGAAAGGTCGGGATGCTCCACAGAAGTTACTAGAAAGCTTTCTTGTTACTAGTAGCGATGGCCTCCACCTAGTAGCTTCTGGTTATATAGTAGAAAGCTTTAACTAAGAAGCTTTAAGACATACTAAAAAGCTTCTTGAGATTGCTCGAAGGGAATGCTTGAGAGTTGCTGGGTGGGACTCATGTTGCCCTTTTTCCAATGTGCATGTCCCTCTGCCAAACAGATATCACATAGCTCGTGAACGATCGTTTATCGGGTGGATATGCGGTGAACGCATGTGCCACGTCTCAGGTGCAGGGTGCATGAAGAAAACACACAGGATGCTCCTGTGTAAGTGGATGCTCCAGAAATCCGAAATGCAACATGCATTGACAGGTCAATTTGTGAAGACCCAGCAACTGACATGTTTGTTGAACAGGGACATTTGCAGTACCCAACCGGAGAAAACAAAGAACTGCCTCGACTTCGTGGTATTTATGAAGGAAATTGAAGGAACAGCATTCGACGACCCAGCAATCTTGCTTGTACAAACAATTAAGTATTCCATGTAGTGTCACCGTGCTACTGGGTGATGTCTATTTCCCTGTGGGTACAAGCTGTAAATCTTCTTTTGGGAAAGATGCTTTATTTTCCTCCAGTTCCTTAAGCAAGTCCAAGTACTCCACACCACCCACTTCCCCAATGCGCATCATGCGCCGCACTGACTGATTGCGCAGTTGGCAATGGTATGATTACGGTCTACATCATGGGTGGGAACCAGACAAGCAGCTCGGTGAGACAGACGGCACTGAGTGGACCTTTGAGATGAGGGGAAGAAGCATATGGAAGCTGATGGAAGACATGTTTAATAGCGATGGCCTCCAACCTAGTAGCGATGGCCTCGTTTGAGATGAAAGGGAAGATCTTTTTCGGCAAACTGAATCACTTCAACCCCAAAGCTAAGTGGACCGCTGTTGGACGCTATCAGGGCTGCCAAGCCAGAGCTCTCAAAATGATTCAATATGTACTTGATTAATTGTTTTCAACTAAAGAGAGAAGTCATGACGAGCATAGATTCATCGATCGGACTTCCTTTCAAAAGCGTCCTTGTTCGTTTCTCTGGAGAGCTTTCAGGTGTTCTTTCTTCCTTCCTGTCTTGTTCCAGCAAAGCACTGGGAAACTGGGAACATCACACTTTGGATACAACGCTTTGGGCGTTTCATGGTTTTCACGTTGCCACCTCAACCATCACACAAACTCCAAAAGGATTCCACGGCGCCGCGCCTTCAGATCGGGAAGCAGACAAAAAGCTGGCCGATCTGAACCTTTGGAGTGCTGCCAGGGGAGCCCAGTGTGACTTTCTGCTCCAAGAGGAGCGTGTGACATCGCGTGACTTGGTGGACCGGATCGGACGCAAGGACGGTCCGGATGATACTGATGAAAAAGAAATGCCTATTAAACTTAATTCTACTAGTAAGGCACTTGTTCCTAGTAGCTTCTTGTTACTACTAGTAAGGCCCTTGCTCCTAGTAGCGATGCACTTGTTCCTAGTAGCATTGTTTCTATTGATTCATGGTGAGTTTCTCACACAAAAGAACTGATCTTTAAAGAGCTGAGTATTTGAACTTCCTGAGTTACTGCTAGCGTCCTCTCGTTCCTAGTATGGCCAGGAGCTACTAGCAGCGTCCTTGCTCCTAGTATTGATGCCCTTTGTTACTAGTAGCGATGCCCTTGTTCCTCTCAGTAAAACACCCGGTAGTGCTTGGGACCTCACAGGACACGCTGCTCAGGCGGTGAGTGTCTCACAGGACACGCTCCTGGTGGACCTCACAGGGCTCCTAAGCACCAGCACGTCCGGGGGCCTCGCACTATCAAAACAAGGGCGAAAAGAGAAGGACGAACAAGGGCGCCGGTCATGTTGAGTTGACAAAGTGTAAAGTGTAAAGTACATGTTACTACTAGTAACAAGAAGCTACTAGGGGCTCCTGGCCTTGCTACTAGGAGCAAGGATGCTATTAGGGGCTCCTGGCATCGCTACTAGGAGCAAGGACGCTACTAGTAGCTCCTGGCATTACTACTAGTAACCCAGAAGAAAGATCCCCAAAACACGGTTGAAGAAGGTCTGCCATTCGTCGAACTTGGTTCAGTGGCCATGAGGAATGACTACCGTTGCGGCGTGAATACATGGAGCTTCAACAAGCTGCCGTCAGGCCACACTCGGAGCAGAGCAGCGCTGACAAGGAGTTTGTGCTGATCCGGCGGGACCTCTGAACTAAAAGACGGCCTTCTGGTGGTCGCGCCACATTCCTTTGTGCAAAACAAAGAGAGAGCGCATCAAGGCAACGCAGCGCATCAAGTTGATGTCAATATCCGCTTGCCTATCGATCATGTTTTCTCCCAGTTCCAATGCAAATACGGATTTGCACATCGACATCTTCGTCCTTCCCCACTGGCCCAAACGTTGATGGATTTGAGGAATGGAAGCGGCATTTTGTAGAGCTCAAGTCCAAGGACGATTCGGGCGATTCGAACACGAAAGATTGGGCGATTCGGCACAGGTGTACCACTTGATGGGGTGCTACAACCCGTGGAACATGCAGATATTTGGCCACAGATTGGTCACAGCAATTCTGAAGATTCAGATCTCGAGGCCAAGAAGATTCTTGGGGTCACACATCCGAGAACATGGAGTCTTGGGCATCACTGAGCATGTTGAACGTCTTTGCACGACACGCGCATCCCAGGGCGCCCGAAGAACCGTGCCGGGCCACATCATGAGACGCCTGGGCAACGTCTGTGCGTCAGCTCCGTTCGGTTTCGTCCGTCTTGCTCCGTTCGGTTTCGTTGTGCTTTTGGAGCCCCGAGTTGAGTTCTTTGCACGTTGCTTCTCTTTTTTCTGGTGGAGTCTTTGTGGATATCACAGGGTTCTTCTCAACTCAGACATTGTCCAACCAGAAGCAACTCCGAGATCGCCCGAGTTGCTGGAGAGAATGCACACGTTGACGCACATAGACATGAACAGCTCTATGCGGTGGCCGACAATTTCGAGCAAGATTTGAAAGAGGCCTCTGACAAGACAGGTGTGCAGATGGTGTGCACAGAAAGGTTTGAGAATCTTTGGGCAAAAGACCGGCAGATGCATCAGCAGATTGGCATGCCCTTGGTCGTAGCCTAGGTTGGTGACACGGTTCACTTGCTGCCAAAACAGAGCGCTTAACAATCCATGTGCCATATGCTGCTGTCGGTTGAAATCAGGTCGTAATCCAACTTCCCAAACACATTTACCTGACAATGAATTCACATGATGTTGAGTGGAGATCTCTACAAGAACATGTGCTACAAGTCTTCTCATTGCCCAGCCGCTCTGATATTCCCAGCTGCCAAAAATGAAAAAACGCTTGTTGCATGTTCATCCCATGAGGAATGCAACAAGCATCCATCCGCAGTTCCTAACATTGTTTGTTCCTAAGATTGCTGCTCAGTTATCCCACCGAGTTCTGAACATGAGTTTAATATGTTCATCCATGATGCAGCTTCTGTGGTCGTCCTCTCCGGTTTGAAGGCATCCCCTTGGTCCACAGTGGCCCTTCTGGGGATTGGTGGTCCTGGTTTGAGACGTTTGGCCTTTCAATGACCAGAGTGACATAGTAGCGTCCTTGCTCCTAGTAGCGTCCTTGCTCCTAGTAGTAAGGCCAGGAGCCCCTAGTAGCGTCCTCTTGCTCCTAGTAGTGGAGTGAACTGCTTGTTTCGGCCACAGCCATACCTTTCCCCCTGCTAGCACTGCTGTGACACGAACGCTCCAACGCAATGGTTGAGCAACTTCTTGCCTTGCAAGAACACCTCTTCGGACAAGAATACTCCCCAAAGTCGCATCAAGAAGCTACGAACGAAACAAAGGGTATCGCTACGAACGGAACAAGAGGACGCTACGAACGGGGCGCTCCCCGGCATTACTACTAGGAGCAAGAGGACGATACGAACGTATCAAGAAGAAGGTTGCTCGGACCCAGCTGGCACCTAATCCTGGTGCCACTTGCTGCTTTGAGGTACTATTCGGTCAGAATCCCACCTGGGGCCCGGGGGCCCAGCTATTTCTCGAACAGTGTCTCCGGTACTAGCCTTATGGACTGGTTGAGCGTTGGAAGGTCTGTCACATGTTTTCTCAAATGTGCGTTTTCCCTGGAATGACGGGGTATGCATCATTCACAAGGTGTCTTTGACATCTTTCAATGTGTCGTCACAATGCGTTGTCAGAGGGTAACGCATCGTCAAAATAGGCGTGGTCACCATGTGTGGTCAGAACATGTGTCGCCAGCGTCATCCGGTTCGAGGCGAGACTAGTTTACCAAGCGGCTTTGTGTGCTTTTTGGCAGGCGTTCTAGTTTTTAAGTAAACGTTCTCGGTCCTAGGAAGACGGTGGTGACGCCCAGGACTTAAACGTGTTTAAGGAGAAGTTCATTCCGCTTGTTCACAATGATTTTGGAGATGCTCGAATACATGTGTTTCCTCAGCAGCCAGACTCTTTGAACTGAAAGTACCGTAGCACAGATGGCCCCAACCTTGCTTTGGCTTAAGGGGCATCACTCGTTGGAAGTTTCATGAAGTTGATTGTGAAAGCAACCGTTGAAAGGCAGCCAGCAAAGCTGTACACAGTGTGTTGCTGAGCCACTATCCGCTCTCATAGCAGCTGTGCAACCACACAATCATATTCAAAGCTTTTCCCGGTTCGCATGCTGTTTTAAAAGAATCAAGATTGAGCCTTGAGAATGCCTAGACGAGTGGTTGCTGCCTGACCTGGTCACCTTGCAAGTCGCACCCCTGCCCCCATTTGGTTTCTTTGTGGTGCAGAAAAAGGAACCCCGGAGCCATCAGGAGCCATCAGGAGTGAATGGATCCTTGCCTTGCCTTGCCTTCTGCCTTGCCTGCAGGTGGTGAGCGACTCGTCCAACAACGCATTTCAAGGCCGCCGTGGCCGCCGTGGCCGGGTTGCGGGTGCGGTTCTCGCTCGTGGCCCACAAGCAATGGAGTCATCGCTCGTTGCATGTTCTTGTTCCGTCCTTGGCAAAATGAAGAATCGAAGAAGGTGGGAGTTGATTTGGATTTCTCTTTCCTGAGACACCAAAGAGGCAAGCACCAGAAGGGTTCTCCGTTTTTACTAGCGATGGCCTCCAACCTACTGTCCAATAGATTTCCTATGAGGAATAAGAAGATGATGAACTCCTACGCTCCTTCGGCTTTCATGTTTGTTGAGCCGAGGGTAACTCAGCGGTAAGTCACCCATTATATATATATATATATTGTACGAATGATGAGTTAGTCACCTCAATACGTGTGAATACGTGTATTCCCTGCTAGATGTTGTGTTACATGTTTCCGAATTTCGATGTGTCCATCTGTGCCCTTGACAAAGGTTGCACGTCAAGGCTACTCGTACTTTGCAAAAGCCTTCGAGAGGCTGTCAGAGCTATCAGAGGTACTGGGCGCTCACACGACCGCAGGTATTGACAAAGGGATTTACATCTTCCAGACGGGAGCGGTTGGTGGCCTCAGCCCAGTGACGAAGTCTTTTCAGTTTGCAAAAGGACGTTTATCGAAGTTCACTTCGTTACCTTAGTCGAAGTAGTGAAAAGGACGTGTTCTTGCAAGTGTGGTGGTCTAGAGGGTAGTTAAGTCCAAAATAGGAACAGCGTGGATACCTTCAATCAGCATCCTTTGGTCCAGGGTGGTCACTTCGAGTGTCTCATCCACAGATACTCAGGAGCAGCGCGTAGTGCAGCTGCAAGATACTGCCGAAGGCCGGAAGGTCGCTTTTGGGTCCAAGGCAAGCCCAGATGCTCACAAACATAGCAGGGGCGCTACTAGGGGCTCCTGACCATACTACTAGGAGCAAGGACGCTTTTATGTTTGTTCTTTTCTTGTTTTTTTCTCCACTCAAAGGAGTACAGAAGGCGAAATTCCTTCGGATTATACGTGAGCAGTTTTGCAGCTGCCTGAACAGCCCGAGTGTCTCGAGCAATCCGGAGTTGATGACTCCTCATCCCAAAGAAACGCAGCAATCTGGGAACGCAGAAATGGGAAGTATCATGATAGTATCATGTGGTCTCATGGTTTCCTTGTGGTTTTGCAAGGAACCCAGAGAGAGAGAGAGAGAGAACACCCAGAGGAACCATCACACTCCTTGGCGCTGTTTTCACTTGGATGACCTACGAACGACCGTATGTTTGTTATGTGTAGCCAGATGACCACACCACGTACACCATCATCATTGTGGTGGCCGGCTCGTTGGTAGTCCCCTCAGCTTTGCTGCCGTCCGAGATCACTGCTTTTCCCCAGCGAAATGGCAGGGACTGGTGCAATGAATTTGTTGTCTTGGCCATGTTGACCACCAAACTGTGAAAATTCTTGAAACATTATTTGGTTCTTCTCAATCTTGGATGTTTCTGTTGCCTTCTAGCTGCTAGGTACAACACATTGGCTTGGTGCCTCACCTGTCAAAATAGTGAAAGACGGGTGTCTCACTGGTGGGCCGAGGTGGGGATTGTGGCCTTGGCCGCTGGCTACATGGCTGGGAAGCCAAGTTCCTTCAGTGGAGAGTGGGGCCAGGCGTGAGAAGAGGTGGATCGAGGCGGCTGAAGTGTGTTCCGCTCTTGGTGTGTTCCTTCAGGTGGAGATGGCACATAAAAGCCTCAGTCCCCATCCTTCAGTAAAGGATCAAAGCCTCAGCAACATCTGCATGTTCCTTCGCTTGCCTTTCAGTAAACTATCAAAGCAACAAAATAGCTACACCTCCCAGGTGAAGGACATGCACTTGGTGATCTCTCGTTACTCTGAAAGCTTTCTTTACTATGGAGGCCATCGCTAGTAGGTTGGAGGCCATCGCTAGGCTAGTAGGTGAGTTTGCCAGGTGGGGTCCAAGAACAAGAAATCCGTCGAAACGAAAAGGCGTCGATTGCACGACTTGGAGAGGCTTTGGAAAAGGTTCGGAAGGTGCGCAGGAGGCGCGACATGGCACGTGGGGGAGACGCTGCAAAGATGCCAACTGAAAAGTCTTTGAAGAGTTCAAACATAGTGATTCAACAGGAACAAGAAGCTACTAGGGGCTCCGGGCATCGCTACGAACGGAGCGATCCGACGCTACGAACGGGGCTGCCATACGTCCTGGCTTTCGCGGGGGCGGGGGCGGGTGTGGTGGCGGATCTCTTTTGGTTGGAAGACAAAGGATCTCTGGTGGCTGGGCCTCGCATCCGCGGAGGGATGATCACTCTGACCTCAAAACGGAAGTGGCGTGGGGTTCATGTCTGAGTGGATGCAAACAACGAAGGGGTCCTGCTGTCGCCAGCTATACCACCATATACCACCCAAAAAGTGTGAAGAGCATCACCCCATCGTGACCAATTCAATTCTTTTGGTGTAGAGGGAAGCGTTGCGCCCCTTTCCACCAGCCGACCCATCATTGAGTAAGTGGATCACAACTGAGCCGGCCAGGGCAAGGGTAGTTGCTCGCAAAGTGGAGAAAGAAGTGGAGGCCAGCATGGGGGCACTGTTTGAGAAGCTTGTGACTTTGGTTACGACAGTTTTAAAGGCGTGAGCGTTCTTCAAAAAGAAAGCAGGGATAGATTTGAGTTCCACTGACTGCTGGCTGGTCGTTGGCCATGTCGTTTTTGCAAGAGATTGCTCGGATGTGCACACTTCTCAACCTTGTTGGTGTGCCTCTGACAACTGGTGCCAAGGCTTCTTCAAGCCTGCGCCAGCCATGTTGCAAAGGCAGAAAAAAGCACAAAGTGGCAGTCCACATTCGCTTTCCAGGTAGTCTGGTGGATATGCGCACATGCGAGCTTACCTGGCGGGCCTTGAGTGAAGTTCTTCAAGGCATTGGCGGAATGGATGTGAATTTCTGAAAGAGGTTGGGAAGGAGCAGACGCTGTCCGTGGACGATTCCTCGTAGATCCTCTGGATGGTCGAAGTTCAGACAATCTGCCTTCGTGGAGCTGTATCTTCTTTTTGGAAATCCAGGTCTTCCACATTCTTCGGTTGGAGGCCGCATCAAATGCATCCAATAGCGATGGCTCCAACAGACATCATCACAACAGCGCAGCTGAGGGATTCTTAGAAATCGTCTTCCCCGCATAGACCGATCCACCGGCTCCTTCCCAGTCCCCAGACGGCATCGAAGCTGTCGACTTTGAACTGGGATCCAGGGTGGCACTAACTTCACATCGGGCCAGAGGATGAAGAGGATGAAGAGTCTATCTTGATGGAGAGAAAGAATCCTTCATGGGTTCTCCCACCCAAACATGGTCGGACTCCTGCATCGTGTGCAGTGCTTGGGCGTCACATCGTACTTGATGGAGCCTGCCTTAAGGAAGCGTTGCCAACCCTCCTTCAAGGAGGTTTGCTTGAAGGGTTGGCAGCTGTTCCTTAAAGCCGTGAAGAAGAGGAGACCGGTTGGTGGCAAGGATTGGAGGCTGTGTATCACACCGCAGAGGGGAGTTATTCACTGTGACATCACAAGGTCAGGGAGCACCTCAGCGGCAAAGCATGCAGTGACAAGTGCCACGCTAGTAGTAACAAGTGCCTTACTACTAGTAACAAGAAGCTACTAGTAACCAGAAGCTTCTAGGAACAAAGGGTGAGCCGCGACGGTGGGCTCTGAGGGACGAAGGCCCACACGATGGACGTGTCTTTGGGAAAAGGCTTGTGCTCGCGCGTCCCTGTCGACTGGCGTTTGTGTCGTTGTCAATGGCGTTCAAAACCAATTTCAACACAAGGATGTTCTTGCAGCGGAGCTCCGAAATGGCCAGGTGTTGCAATATGCTTCAGTCCATGACAACGACGTGGTCAGTGATGTCCGCTGTTGTGCAGTTTCCCTCCAAGTCCGTGGTGATGGCACTGAGCCAAAAGTCTGGCCCTTTGGTCTCGTCAGACGTAGTTCTTAATGGCCGGGAAGCCTTCAGAGACTTGTTTCTAATAGCGATGGCCTCCACCCTAGGAGCGATGGCCTCCTGTTGGTCTGAAGATGTCGTTATTAATTCTAGCTGTGTTCAGTGCTGAAAGCAGATGGCAAGGAACTTCTGTCTCATGTGGTCATTTCGTTGCGGAGTTGTGACAGTTCTTTCGTGTAGTCATCTGGACCCAGTGCAGAGTCGTCGAAGAGAACTCTTTGGACATCATGCATTTCATGTAGCAGCAAGAAGCTACTAGGAGCAAAGGGCATCGCTTCTAGTAACAAGTGCCTTACTAGTAGTAACAAGAAGCGAACGTAGAAACAATATATACAATATAGAGTTTAAATATAGAATATATATACTAGTAATAACAAGTGCCTTACTACTACAAGGCACCGTACTACTAGTAGCAAACATGGCAGCTGCACTTAGCCACTAGTAGCTTCTGGTTACTAATAGCGATGCCCTTTGTTACTAGTAGCTTCTTGTTGCTGCAAAAGTTCCTTGGTCTCATGATGTATTGTGCTATACGGGACCATCTACCATTTCGACGGTGAAGCAGCAAACATACACATGGTTGCCGTCCTGTTCCAAGTCGCCCCAAGCAATCTTGTCATTCGCCCGTCAACTGCCATGCTGGCACAGGTGGAAGAGGCTCCGCCTGAGAATTTGGAGAAACCCACCCTGCCGCACTTGGCACATGGTCGGGAAGCCTTGGCACCAATGGGTTTCAGATGTCCATCTTTTAAGAGATGAACCAAAACAGGAACGTGGCATGTGTTTGAAGTGCGCCGTGTTCTAGTGAGGATAACCTTCGTCCGACATGAGATTAGTTTCAACTCCTCAGAGGTTTGAGAACATCAATTCCATGACTCTGGGAGGATTTTGCAGGAACACAAGAGTACCATTACCACCAAACAACCACGGAGGCTTCCTGTTTGATTCTACGCACGCTCTTATCATCAGAATTTCACCCCACCCTCCCCTTTCTTCGCCTACACGTCGCCTTCGAAAATGTCACGCTTCAAGTCTTTTTTTGTTCTTTTCTTCCTTTTTTGGCTTTTCCGTTGGACCTGTCTTTTGGTCCTTTCCCTTTTCAAAACGAACAAGCAGGTCTCTTTGGTTCTTACTACTTACTGCCGTCCCGTGCTTTCCCGTGCGCACCCAGACGTGGACGACTGGGCGGTCGCAGCGCCCGCGTCCCCCACCTCGCCCTCCTCGGGGAAGTCGCCCATCAGCTCCAACGTCTCTGCGAAGAACGCCCGGGCGACCGAGGAGGGCGGAGCTGAGGGTCTGGGAGGGTGGTCGTGTGAGCAGGACAACCCAAGTCTACCCAAGAAGATGTGTTCAGGGGCTTGAGGGCTGTGGGGAGTGTGGTCAGTGTTCAGAGCTAAGTGTGCAACTTCCTCCAAGCCTCAAGATTCATGTGTCCTCCATAAAGAGCGTCCCTTTCAGATGGTCGCAAACCATTCAACAAAACCAGGGAAGCTTGGAAAACATTTTAAACCTGTCTTTGATGCCTTGCACCACAACAAGTTTTGTCAACTCTCTACAATTCTATACAAGACGTTTGAAAACGCGGCATTGCCTTAAGCAGAAGTTGTTGAAGCAACATGTCAGAGTCGAAGAGAACCACGTTGATAGCACATGTGCGATGTTTAATGAATGAATTTGTTTCTTGCTGATTGTGTTGTCGAAAGGTTTAAAGGCAGATGTCGAGTGTATAACTTTGTCAATTTACACCTTCGTTTTTGGCCTAAACCCCATCAGGTCGTTGGCAAGGTGCCAAGTGTGAAGACGCCCACCTCGCGGCCAAACGTCCAGGCTTGCCCGGTTTTTCTGGATTTCGGAAACGCAACGCCAGGCCCCAACGTTTAAAGCCTTTTGTCTGCTTAAAATAAACAAAATCCAACGGTCAGAGAAGGCCTGTTGATGAGTATCACCGCTGAAAGCAGTGGAAGTCAACTGAGATCTCTTTGCCTTTCCCTTTTGCAGCTGTGACAAGATACGTGCGTGCTCTGTTTACTGTCTGGAAAGACGACCTGGGATTGGGAAAATTGATCGAAGCTACAGGGGTCCCGATAACCATTGCTGTGGGTGCATCTCTAAGCTGGTTCACCAAGATGACAGTGGCTACATTGTCGGCTACGTTGCGGTGAAAGCAGTCACTCTCCAGTCGCCATACCAATTCAAATTCTTGACAAGAAGATGGAAGGTTTTTTTGAACAGCGATGAATTGAATGATGAAGAGACATGAATGTGAATATATTTTTGCATTGCAGCCCCTTTGGCCCAAGAGTTTACGCAAAGCCGATGTTTTCTCGAAGAGAGTCGAGAAAGCCGGGAGAAGCCGGCAAACAGGTGGCGCTCACAAAAGCACTCCTGGCCACATCGGCAAAGCACTTGTGTAACACTCGTGGTCAGAAAAGAGCGACTAGTGGATTCTGAACAGCTTTGCAGTTTCCACCGTCCTTTTGACTTTAGAACTCGTTCGTGCCACCACAGGATTTTTCCTGCCTCTGCGCGGCCTTCAACAGGACTGCTTGAGTTGCAACGGTTTCCTGTGTCTTTCCTCTTTGCCTCCCGACCCCTGATGGGGAGATACTTCTATATCTCCCTTTTGCCATTTGTCCTGCATCCTTGTTGTTTCGACAGGCGGTGTTTTCCGATCTCACCTCGAGGCTTTTTAAACCGTCATGACTGAGCCGAGACTGGGAACAGAAAAAGAGCACCGAGACGGCAAGAATGTTTTTGCAGCAGAGATCCTCTGGCACTGTGCTAAAAATGGCTTGAAGCAGACAAAAGTCATAAGCTTGCCATTGGATATGGGCGCATGAACAACTTGAAACGGTACGCTTGCTGTCGAACGCCGTGCTGACACTTTTGGGCTTGATCCTGGCGCATGATATTGAAAGCTTGTCTCTTTGGCATGCTGTGACGAACATTTGCACTTGCCTCATTGCTTGGATTTCTCAAAAGATATGAAGAGCAAAAGAAGCAATTTTGCCGTTGAACTTGCCTTATGTTTGTTCATGCCTGCAAGAAGCACACTATGATTGAAGTGGAAGCGCCGCACAAAACGTGGTCAACAAGTTGTCCGCACACTTCCTTCTCAAGTTTGTCTTGTTTTTGAGCACCCCAGTAGCGCTGCTATTGCCCAGTATCTTGACTTACAAAGATTGGCTCTGTGGCACGATTGCCCCACAGACCACATGGCATTATACCAATGGTTTTCCGAACATTTCAAGTAGACAGGCATTGCTAGTCTGTTTCGCTGCAAAGGGAAAAGGCATGGCGGCCCAGCCACGCGACTGACTGAACACACGTACAACACCATCGCGCACACGCGTGTGACAGCCAGAAGCTGAGGTACAAAGTGGCATGCGAGCCTGAAATGCGCTGCTTTGTTGTCACCAGATCTGGCCCTTCTGTGATGACGTGGGCTCTTGAATGGTTTGATATTCATACGCATGCTCCTTGCGCAAACGGTCAGCGCATCACTCTGTCCCGCGAAAAGATGCCCTTAGTTCCTCCTGTTTCCATCTCAGATACATTGATGACGTTTTCCTTGATAGCAAATCGCGGCGCAGAACATGTTTGTTGCAGTACCTATCGCGCTGTTGTTCCATCAGCTTTGAAGCAAGCCCAGCCGACATGAAAGTTTCTTGGTTGGACATGACTGTGACAGCGGCGTTGTAAAACCAAAGAAACAGAAACAAGTCATTGTTCTCCTCCTTGGGGCGCAAGGAAAAACTGTCTGCGTCCAATCTTCTCCAATTGTCTCAGAAGAGCTTGCCTTGTGTCCACACAGGACCACACAGTTCGTACGCGGATGATGTCCGTCCTTTGTGATTTTGCTGCCTGTGGGTGGTCTAACAGAAAGCTTGATAAAGTTGTCTAAGCAGTGGGCCAAAGTGAAGTGCGAGCTGGCAGCTGGAAGAATTGCCAATCTCAAAACCAAAGTTGAACAGGCAGGAGTTGAGAAACGTCAAGAGCAAAAGATTGCAGATTAGGAACAGAGACTGACGTCGTGCTTGCAAGCTGCGCCGGAAAAATATTTGGCTTCTTCATCATCATCATCTTCTTCTTCTTCTGCTTCTGCTTCTTCTTCTTCTTCTTTTTCTTCTTCTTCTTCTTCTTCTTCTTCTTCTTCTTCTTCTTCCTCTTCTTCCTCGCAGGCCACGGAAACCTATGATGGCCCTACCGAAGATGTGCCTTTGAACAAATCCCGACAAAAGCTTGCTGCGAGATTGATCGGTACATCCTCAGAAGAGTCAGCTTTGCTTTCTTGGCGAAAAGTCGAAAAATACGTGGAAGACATGGACCGCCGGTGCGCCGCGAAGGCGTTTCTGTGCCTAGGGGCAAGAAGGACCGGCAAAAGGCTTTGCAGCAGCGTCTGCGCACAGAACTCGGCCTGGAAGACTGAATCCGTGCTTACCTGCACCTACCTACGGTGGTTGGCGCTCGGAACAGCGTTCCTCTCATAAGGTGGGCAGTTCCGCCCAGTCAACTGAGATCTCTTTGCCTTTCCCTTTTGCAGCTGTGACAAGATACGTGCGTGCTCTGTTTACTGTCTGGAAAGACGACCTGGGATTGGGAAAATTGATCGAAGCTACAGGGGTCCCGATAACCATTGCTGTGGGTGCATCTCTAAGCTGGTTCACCAAGATGACAGTGGCTACATTGCGGTGAAAGCAGTCACTCTCCAGTCATCATACCAAGATTCAAACTCTTGACAAGAAGATGGAAGGTTTTTTTTGAACAGCGATGAATTGAATGATGAAGAGACATGAATGTGAATGTATGTTTGCAGCCCCTTTGGCCCTAGAGTTTACGCAAAGCCGATGTTTTCTCGAAGAGAGTCGAGAAAACCGGGAGAAGCCGGCAAACAGGTGGCGCTCACAAAAGCACTCCTGGCCACATCGGCAAAGCACTTGTGTAACACTCGTGGTCAGGAAAGAGCGACTAGTGGATTCTGAACAGCTTTGCACTTTCCACCGTCCTTGTGCGGCTAGAAGTCCCTTTTTGCACCCAGAAGCGGCGTGGATTGGAATTCCAAAAATAAGAGCAGATGTTGGTGTGAATGAAGCGTACTATTGATTGGTTTGTGTCCAGGTTGCTTGAAACATATTGGAAAGATTGGCGCGGACAATCGACGGTGATGGGTTCCAACACGTTCCCGAGAAGCCAAACAAAAAGTTGGAGGTAAAGGACGGGAAGAATGAGACAGCGCAGGAACCCTTGTGCCTCGAAGATACTATGTCCACACGCCACCACTCACTGACCGACCACTGTTTGCTACCTTGCTACTAGTAGCTGTTTGCTACTAGTAGTTTTTGCCAAGAGCTACAAGTAGTTTCTTTGTCACTAGTAGCGATGCCCCAATTACTAGGAGTTTCTTGTTACTAGTCCTTTGGCTCTCAGGTCATCCCGAAATTTTGAAGACTTTGGTTTGTTCCAGGCCAATCCAGGCCAATTCACTTCCTTGGAGGAAGAAACATCAGATTCCGAGTCACACTCAGCTATTCAGACAATATGTTGCTGGATTCCAATGCAGTTTTCCTAATTCCCTTCCTATCTCCCCCGAATTTCCCCTCATGTCTTTGGATTACCTTTGACATATTGTCCGTTTCGTTTTTTCGCTCAACTGCGTGTTCCGGCTGAGCCGCAGGTGTTCTCAAAGCCGGAAGAGCTGAAGACCCAGGTCCACACCCAGGTGCCGTTTCGGGTGACCCGTTTTGAACTGTTTGAGAGAGAACCGAAACGATGCATTTTTTGCAAAGTGTCCATGTTTTGTTGGTCTAAGGCTAAGCTTTTTGTCTTGTTCAACCCATCAAGATGTGAAGTCGTAGAGATGGGATTGGAGAGGATTAGTAGAGGAATTGAAGTCTGTGATTTGTGCCGTAATCCGTTCCTATGAAGCAAGACTAGCTAGATTAACCCCTAGTAAATATTTGATGCAGTTTTCTCAGAAGTTGATTTAGCCAACATGGGTGTTAAGCCATTTGATATTCCTGTGGATATTTGGCAACTAAGGGGTTGAGTGGGGTGTTATCCGCCTTGGAACATCATTTTCGATTTTGCTGGATGAAGGAAGATAAAGGGAAGAGCAAGAAGCTACTAGGCGGAGGCCATCGCTATTAGGTTGGAGGCCATCGCTATTAGTAACAAGAAGCTACTAGCTATTTGCTACTAGTAGTAAGGCCAGGGGCTACTAGTAGCGTCCTTGTTCCTAGTAGCAATGCCCTTTGTTACTACTAGCTATTTGCTACTAGTAGATTTCAATTTTCAAAGCTCGCTTTGGGAGATGACTTTTTGGGCTTTAGACCCGACCGACTGCGTCGTGCCGACACAAGCATCGTCCACATGCTCCGCAGCTCCGGGAGTCCGGGACCGTGGTGAGCCGGGGGAGCCGAGCGGGCCGGCTGCGGGTGTCCGGTTCAAAAAGTTATGGTTGGTGTGAAGCTGATTGTGAAAACCCATACAGTGTTTTCTTTTTAGACTTCAAACCAAATGCAAACCACATGCGATCAGAGTGCTGTGGATCTGCGGCGGCAGATGCGTGTGCCGAAAGGGCACAGGCAGATGCGTCTTTCGGTCGATTGAAATGTCTGTCACACTGTGATAGACCGGTCATGTGGTGCAGACTTTGTTGAATCACTCTGTTGGTCTCTCGCATAATGTGACTAATCTGGAACCAAGGCCTAGCGGATTTGCACAATAAGAGCTCCCAGATGATGCGTACCATCGGCCAAAAGGCGGGACATCACAGATAAAAAGAGAGGGGAGGAAACCCACGGCCCATGTAAGATCCTGAATGTTCCAACTTCTCTCAAACCAAAAGTGACTATAGCCTAATAGCGATGCACTACTCAGTCTGTCTCAGTCCAAGACGATTAGACGGTCCCCCAACAAGTCACAAGGTGGAGATGCAAAAGATGATCAGTCAAGATGTTGACGAAGAAAGTAAAAATAGATAAAACAAAATTTAAAAAAAGTCTAAATTCCAAAAGAAAGGAAAAAAATCTAAAGTGCAAGACCCTTTTTTCCTTTGACAGGAGCAGGGTCCACAGTCATGGATCTATCAACCCAGCGGAAAACTCAAAGTACATCGGTGCCCCATGTTGCAGGCGCCCTGTGACAGATCGAAACAGAAGCCTCTCCTGACAAAAGGGAGCAACTGACAGGTTCTTGCTTGCAGGTGATGCTCCTGTAAAGACTAAAAGGTTGCTTTCTCGGACTAACCTACGAAACATGCTCCATGATGGTTCATCGTGCTCCATGACCTGTCGACCCACCTGGGTCACGCAATGGCAGGTGGACGACCGAAAACGCCGACGCTCAGCGGCAAAAGATGTTTAGCTTTTTCGCATTGGTAGTTGTTGTCAACACTCGGCGAAAGGTTTTTTTTGGGTGGCTTCTTGTTCTTTGCAATGGAACATGTTTGTCCTTCGAGATTGCATTGCACTTTGCTTATCCTTCCCTCTTCACATATTTTCAGCGTGACAAAGCATGAATCACATGAAACAGTAACATACATACAGTAGCCGTCTTCTAGAAGAACAGTAAAAAGTCTCTTATTGATTCTTATTGCATGTTTCCCCTTTGTTATCACGAAGTGAATCAGGACCAAAAAGCAATGAATCAGGACCAAAGATCGCTAAGCTCGGAGGCCATCCCTAGTAGCTTTGATCAGTCACGGCCTCGACTCGTCCACCGAGGACCCAACGGCGTCTCGGGAGCCCTCACGGCGCCCAGCTCTCCCACCGCCTCGCCGGTGAACCGACGGCACTCGGCACAGTCGCCCACCTTCCCGCGGATGGAGGCCGGGGAGAACACGGGACGAAACGGGCTGTTGGCCCCGACCCCTTTGAAAAGGATCTGTGGAAGGGAATTTTGGGGGAGGAAGCTGCCAGGGGTTGAGCAGTGATAAAGCCAAAGCTGCTGGTGGGAATTTGGAGCCTCTTTGCACCAAAACGAAGAGCAGCGCTGCTGCAAAGTGAATGATGAGGCCAAGGATGTAACGTAACGGAGTCATTGCATTTTGCATCCTGTCCTTCGTGTCTCGTTCGTGTCGAAACAATCACCCCAAGTTTGGAGGAACTCTGTCCCAAACGATCCAAGCGGAGGTCTGTTTTGGAAAAGGGACGAAGACCATTTGAGCTTTAAAAAGCTGAGGCGGTCACTAGCAGAGCGACGAAGTACCGAACTACAGATGAAACCAACTGAGTGCTGAGAGCTGAATCACCTGGCAACTTCGATTAAGCTAAGTCAACATATCCTTATTGTCGAAATTATACCAGCATAGACCCCAAACAGCTTCAAAACGATTCGTTTAGACCAATATTAGTCAAAAAATCGATTTCTTGGTACGCCCTACCTTCACCCCAAGAGCAAACTGTTTCATCAATGAATTTTTGTCGGCATTGACATCGCTATTTGTTCGGCCACACTCCTCTCCAGTAAGCCGGGCCACAGAGACCAGCCACAGAGTTCAGGGGCGCGGCCAAGACAAGGACAAGAGGAGGACAAGACCCGGACACAGAGCCCAGCCACAGAGGAGGAGGACAAGAGGAGGACAAGGCCCAGCCACAGAGGTCAGCCACAGAGGACAAGAGGAGGACAAGGCCTGGACACAGAGCCCAGCCACAGAGTTCAGGGGCGCGGCCAATGAGTGTGGCCAGCTCTTGGCCAGCTCTTTTTTTTCTAAGATAGAACCCAACGGTAAACTGCTTGGGGAACAAGGACTCTAAGGAACCTAATAGCCAAGGCCTCCAACCTAGTAGCAATGGCCTCTCCAAGTCGCCAAAGTTCTTCGCACTTTTTCACGTTGAAAAGCAACTTACTTGGCTACTAGGAGCAAGGACGCTACTAGGGGCTCCTGGCCTTTCTAGGACAAAGAAGCTACTAGTAACAAAGGGCATCGCTACCAGGAAAGTGCAACTTATTTGACCGAATCCGAACGCCCCAGGGTAGCCCTGGTGGACGGAGGTTGCACTCCGCGGAGGGCCAGGTGACTGTGGGTGAAGAGCAGGGCGAGAGCGGTCGGTTCTTCCCCACACAGTCCAGGAGTCCATCAGGAATAAACAGGAGGGAAAAACGAAAAAGAAGAACACGCTTCTTCGTTGTCTATTTGTGCCCTTGGCCCTGCCTCCTTACTTAATCAAGTAGGCGCCTACTTATTCGAGTAAGGGAGAAGCTCGCTCCTAGCAACACTTAAGCTATAACCTACTGGACGTAGGAGAGCTCACATTTCTTCAAGGAAACCCCCCCTGGCGGGGTGGAGTTTCCTTGAAGAAGCACTCGCGCTAATGATTTGGTTCCTAGAAACCTACTGTGCAATAGTTCTGTGGTCATTCTTCCTCGCTTTGTCCTCATGTTTTTCCTCATGGGTTTCACCAAGAAATCTCAAGCGGTCGTGCTATAAAGAGTGTTTTCGTTTGCACCAAACATGTTGTAGAGCAACAAAGACACCCCGAACTTTGCAAATGACTGCAGTCCCTGGTTGTTATTCTGAGTGACTTGATGACATCTGACCACATTGCTGGTCATGTTCCTTTCCTCCAGCCGCATTGCACCGGGCAACTTCCAAGCTTCAAAGGCGGTGTGAACTCACGAAAAGTGTATTGGCCTTGTCCTCCGGCTCAGCCATTGGTTCAAGAGATTTTGACATTTAAAGGAAATGAAGACGAAATGCTTTCTCTTAGGTTGGAGGCCATTCCTATCAGGTTCCTTTTGCTATTGGCTCTAAGAATGCTGGTGTGGCCATTACAACTCTTCCAGTCCCTGTAGCTGGGGAACACGAAGCTTTTCTTGCGGCATACCCAATGCCTGCCACAACTTCGGTCAATGCTGAGGAGCACTCACCGATGAAAGCACTGCGGTGCTCGATGAAGTTGAAAGTGTTGGTTCGGATCGCGCAATTCCACGACCTCTTCGCACCGACGAAGTCGTTGGCTTCACAGCCGTGCGCGGACGTCACCCCATGGCGTCATGGTGGTCCAGTGGCAAAACAGTGAGCAAGTGGTCAAGGACGGGCTTTGATGATGTTTTTTGAAAAGCCCGGGCGAGCTACTAGCTACTAGCTACTAGTTAGCTTCTAGGTAGGGCGCAGGCCTCCAACCTGCCAGCGATGGCCTCCATCCTAATGCTCCCAACCTAATAGTGGTCAAGGACGGCCTTTGACAAAAAAAAGATCGAGCAAAGGGCCCTGCCCGAAGTGGTTGCAGATGCTTAGGAGGGAACGATCAGGCATCAACTTGAAGTTGTTTTGTTGTGTTTTTAACCTTCCACACCCGGTCCGCTCATCCCCTTAACTGGTGTGGGATAGTGTCCTGTCCGGTCCGTGTTAGGGATTGATCCTGGGTCCGATGTATTGAGGGATGCGTCACTGGACCCTACCGTCTGAAAGTGCTGTTGTTGAGCAGACGATCCGTGTTGGAAGCAGGGCAACCAAGGGGAGCACCCGCAGTTTCTAGTTAGCTCTGGCACATCCATTTGAAGGAAGAAAGTCGTTGTTTGCTCAAGCACAGGTGATTTTCGGTGTCTGAAGAGTGTACGGGATCCTACTCTAGCGACTACAGAGTCTTCCGGTCTTCCTTTTTAGACTTGTAGTTTCGATTGCGTTCTTTCGGAGATTTCGACCGGCATAAAAACGGTCCGTTCGACCGACCCTGCAAAAAGGGTCATGACCTGTCCGGCGGAAGTGAGGAGATTCTCCAATGCTCACCCGCTCGATGCAGCTCAGGCGGCGCTCCAAAGAAGGTCGAGCATGGTCGAGCACATTCTCCCCTTGTGTGAAAGATCCGGAGAGATGTTGCCAACCAATCGAAATGGATTCCAGGTCCATTCACATGTGTCTCAAACGAATCGGACCAAGTTTTAAGGAGGCTGCTTGAACTCCTGCAAGTGACTTGAGCTCCTTATTGACTTGCCAGGGACATGGAGCTATGACAATGTGAAATTTAGCATCGAAGATGACATCGCTCAGGCGGGATCTCTGAGAACGTGGGGTTTGAATAGTGTTCCAGGGATATTTGGCAGTGCGCATGTTACAATAAGCTACTAGTAACAAGTGCATCGCTTCTAGTAACAAGGGCCTTACTAGTAGTAACAAGAAGCTATTAGGGTTAAGTGTAATTAGAATCTTGTTACTACAATCAACCAATAAGCTACTAGGAACAAGTGCATCGCTACTAGTAACAAGTGCCTTACTAGTAGTAACAAGAAGCTATTAGGGTTAAGTGTAATTAGAATCTTGTTACTACAATCAACCAATAAGCTACTAGGAACAAGTGCATCGCTACTAGTAACAAGTGCCTTACTACTAGGAGCAAGAAGCTAATAGAAACAATAATTAGTAATTATGTTTAATTCTAATTTACTTTAATTCTACTAGCTTCTTGTTCCTAGTAGTAAGGCACTTGTTACTACTAGGTCCCATGCCCATCAAGTCCGTGTTCCAAAGCTCGACCTTTTGCCACACAGAGGTGAAGTTGGACGATGCCCGAACAGGGAATGCGCTGTCGCTTGGAGTGAAATGGGACCAGGGATTCACAGAAAGTGATGCAAAAGAGGTAAAATGGAGAAATGGTGAAACATTTGTCCTTGGTGTTCTTGTCCAATGTGGAACATCGGTGGGCCCATAACGGGCCCGCACTGACTGAGTCCGGTCGGGAAACGCTGGCAGCCGCTCGCTTGTCAACCGGGGCCATGCGTGCTGTGTTGCTCCAAGGAGGCACAAGACCGTCCGTGCCCTGCTGGATCTTTGCATCGAGCTCCACAGACGACCAGAAGACGCTCGGAAGATCATGCGAGGAGGTGTTTGACAGATGAAGAAGCGTGTTGGCTCCCGCTACGTACTTGATCCCGAACAATCAGGGGGAGTTAGAAAGATGGCAATCTACGGGACCAGACCTCGAGTAGTGCCCCAAGAAATAGAGAAGCCTGGGTCGACTCCCCTGGCAGTTTCTATCGGCTGAGGGTTTGTTCAAGACTGGAAAGCCTGCATGAATCGCTTGCAACAAATGTGAAGGACCCAATTGCGGTGAAAGTCGTGGCTCATCTCCGCAATAAAACACACAGGAAGAATCATTTGATAGCAGCTTTGTTTTCTCACCGGGAGGCACACCCAAAGAAACGTGGAACGTGGGACTGGCAACATGGGCAAGTTTCCTATCCGCAATTACAAGTTGATCGTTGAGTTTCCCCAAGAAAAGAGCTCAAGTGGCTCACATTGATATCTGCAACAAGACTCTATTTGCTCATTTCCAGTGAGAGAAGTTCGGTTTGTCCGCAAAGTGGCTCTCGCCAAGCGAAATGGTGGCGAGGTCAAAGTCGTGGTTTTCACGGCCAGCGGCTTCTACTTCTCCTCCGGCGGCGCATTTGGTGGCTGGGCTTGGAGGGGGTCCATTCCTATTCGGAACCTGATTGTAATGGCCTCCAACCTGCTAGCGATGGCCTCCAACCTGCTAGCGATGGTCTCTAATGTGGCTTATGAAGGAGGCCCTTCACTTTTTTGCCCTCATATTGTCCTCATTAAGATCTTCTGAGAAAGCACCCTGGTGCATGGTATGAAGGCATTCCTAGACTTCCAGGCACAAGCACACGGTGTTAAGATGTTTCTGTGATGTTCTTTTCAGGTGCCGACATACCAGAGGACGATATTAACTTCGCGCCGAAGCTGAAGCCAGGCCAGCTTTTGGTTTGAGCTTCTTCATAACCCGAGTGCGGCCACGTGTGTGCTCCGCCGCATGATTTGTGCATTTGGGGGTCTCCAGTTTGGAAGGGATCGAAAGCCAAGTCGCCAAGAGAAGACTGTGCCACAATATACCTATATAGCCTATGTTGAAACAGACTTAGTAAACTGACGGCAAATCCAGGACTCGAATGACCACAGTTCCTCCTCTGATGCTCCAGGGTTCCAGTTCTGCTGAGCAAGTTGGGTCGGCAGGGGCTGCGCAGGTGCCAGCCAATTTGATGCTGGAGTGGCAGAAAACCTGCTTGTCGCCCATTTGTTGTTGCTCGGTCGATCTAGTGCAAGAGGGAATTGTTTCAAGGGTATGAAGTTCTCGCCTTTTCATCCTTCTTAACGACGTAAAGCCAAACTTGCGATTGGGCTGAAGGTGAATAGCAATTCTTCTGACAGTGGATGCATAACGCATGGTCAGAATCACTCAAGCTCGAAGTCGATTGAGGATGGGTATGCGGGAACGCGGTGGATCAAAAGGGTGATTTTTCAACAATGCCGGGTTCGACGGGGGATCAACAAGCTTTTGACATTTCGCGTATTACATCATACAGTGAGGTCTTTCAACCCACTTAGGTGATCCACTGCGTGTTTGTAGGCTGCCAGAAATCTCCTCACAGAAGCTGGCCGCCCAGCAGCGACCCCTCGACCCCTCGATACGAATCCGACAAGACACCCACGCGTCGAGGGTTTGTTCTTGTTTCGTGTGCTTCGGTGCATTGGTTTGGAGTGGCCTTCATTGCATAGCTTCGCTCATCACCTAAGGTGGGGTCGCCACTGCATAGACTTTAGATGCCACAACAGCGTCCCGGTCACAGCACTGTTTGGTTTCACTCCAATGGTGTTTAGCCACTCCAAGGTATTTGCTGAGCACGCTGCCTCAATACAAGGCGAGGAGAGAAGTGCAGATGCAATCCATGTTCCGAACGCGATACTTGCACCCCAAACACCCACAATAGCTCAAAAAAAGACTCGTAGGCCTTGACATCGTCCCGTTCCCATTGATCCATCCTATTCAAGAAAAAACATAAAAACAGGAAGATATCAAGGCTAAAGATGTTTATGTGGAATTCAAGGAGTTCAGCACTGGGTCACTCAGACTTACTTGAGGCGTCACTTCTAACAACACGAGGACAGAACACGGGCATTTGACTGTGAGATTTCAGAGGTACGAGGAAGGCGGTTGATGTATGCGATGTTCAGGTAGCAGCCATCAGGGGCAGCATTTTGGGTGCTGGCATCAGCTTGGTTGCAGCTATGGATTATGTGCTGGCGCCCGAGAGCAGGAGCCCTGACGACGAGCGGAGCAAGCAAACAAAAACCCAACATTGATGGGACAAAGGAGGTTTCGTTGTATTGCTTCCCTTCGAAGGGCCGTTCCTATTCGCTAAAACGAAAGGAAGTTTCTGGGGTTTGCTAAGTCTCAGTTTGCCAAATCTCTCTCTCACAAGTTTTCTTTGTTCGTTTCATTTGACGGGTCACATGAGTGAACGTCCACCAGTCGAAGATTGCGAGCTGCCATCCGAGGACCCAGCTGAGTTTCAAAGAGGCCACTCGAGGTTTGGGCGCGTGTTGCTCCTGGCAGGCCACCATTGCAAAGCTGGGCACCTTCGAAGCAGCAACTGGGGTTGGCAGGTTAAGATGGATAAGACCACAAACAGGGCTGGTGAGTGCATAAAGGAATTCGAGCCATAGACGCCTGCCCACACGGTTGTACCCACCCAAATGGTTCGCGACACGAGATAAAACTTCCTCAAGCCCAAGTCCAAAAGGAACTGCTTGCACCACTTAACGAACTAGCCCAGAACTGCAAAAGACAAGATAGAACCTGGATGCCTTGTCCGTTTGCCTTGTGACAGCACCTTTTCCTTTCCGTCCTATTCCTTTTAAGGCCAGGAGCTACTAATAGCGTCCTTGCTCCTAGTAGCGATGCCAGGAGCTTCTAGTAGCTTCTTGTTTCTAGTAATAAGGCCAGGAGCCCCCAGTAGCGTTTGACCGCTCCTAAGGCGTCCGGACCATGCGACGCTTGTGTTTGCTGGCAGCAGACGTGAATGCCTTTCAAGCTAAAGAGCTCAAGCCACTTCGACTGGAGACGCGACAGACCGGGCATGGCTTACAGGGCCTCGCCAAGTAAATATGTCACAAAGGAATCAGTAACAGCAGGCTTATTTACCTCGCAGGTGCTGTTCTTCCTTGTCGTTATAGTTGTGGCAGCAAAACTGAGCTTCACTGACCAAGGTTGGTCGACGAGATCATCGCCGGCCCCACCTCTCAAGCTTTTGGTGAGGCCGATGCACGTGCCTTGGCCAAGGCGGGCCACATGTGTCACCCCTACGTTGATATATCAACCTACTAGCCGCTAGCCTCCAACTTACTAGCAAACTATAGTTTCTCTATTTCTATGGCCTCCAACCTAGAAGGAAATTGCCAAAGGCTTCAAACTCCACCGGTAAAGCTTCGTTGGGTGACGTCATCTCTGACCAGGCCCAGCAGGTCGCCAGCTGGACCACAGAAGAGCGGCACGCACGGAAATGCACTGGACACTTGGCAAGCGGACCGACCACGTTAGTTTTTCAATAGTTTGGTTCCTAAATTTTTAGAAAAACTTGATTTGGTCCACTATGGGATGGCCTACTGTGGCCCTTATGGGGTGCCAATATGGCCTCCGAAAGATGTGAAAGATGGGGCGCCTTTTGAGTCGACCCTAGAAGCGTTCTCAATTGGAGTAAATAGCGCATTCCGGACGGCATAGGCTTTTTAAAGGCGAGGGAAAGTAAAGAAAGCATCGTTGGTAGATGGGCATTGTTTGAGGAATGTTGAGTGTGTTTTGGTTTCCTCTCTCTTCACAGTGATTTTGATGGTTGGAGCTTTGCTGGCTTGTTGAAGCCAGCACCAAAAACAAGAAGCTACTAGCAACATGGGCATCGCTACTAGTAACAGGGGCATTACTACTAGTAGCGAGAAGCTACTAGGAACAAAGGGCATCGCTACTAGGAGCAAGAAGCTACTAGTAGCTCCTGGCATTGCTACTAGTAGCAAGGACTCTTTTAGTGTGTCTTTGAAACTTCTTAGTAAAGCTTTCAGTGTGAACTGTTCTGAACCAAATTCAGCTGTTGAAGGCCCTGGCAAGGCACAACCCTTGGAGCTTTGTGGAGGCGGGTCTTCGAAACGGAGAAATCGATGAAGCTCGCGCTGCCCAAGACGTTTTCATAAGGATGAAAATTTGACCTATCGGACCTATCTGACCTATCAACTTTTGGAAAGCAAAGATAACTCCAAAAAGGCGGAACCTTTCGTTATTAGGAACAAGTGCAGCGCTTCTAGTAACAAGTGCCTTACTAGTAGTAACAAGAAGCGAAATGTGTTTACATGTTTTTACTAGCTTCTTGTTACTACTAGTAAGGCACTTGTTACTAGTAGCGATGCACTTGTTCCTAGAAAGCAAAGATAACTCCAAAAAGGCGGAACCTTTCAAGCGAAGTGCAAAATCCCACTGCACAGAAAGGCTTGATGACAGAGGCGGCTGATTTGGAGGCTTTGCTTGAGGAGGCGTCGCTCATGACTGACAGTAGCCATGGGACGTCCATATGTTTGAAGCCGGGTGAGAGAGTAGATCACCCAAAGGACCAATGGCCTCCAACCGCGATGGCCTCCAACCTAATGGCGATCATCCAAAGGACCAATGTGTGAAGTGCAGCCATTGAACATTTGTGGCGAGACTCGCTACCATCAGACTTCACACTTCCCGTGTCCAAACCATCGGGAGGAACTAACGATCCAATGAAGGTTTTTTCGCTGTGATTTGGTGCTCCAAAAAGCCAGGTGCTGAGCAGCTCTGTCGTCCCTCGTTTGGGGCCTGCCAGATTCAGCAAAGAGATGTGGCCACACAAGGCGCATCGCGGCGCGTCAGTGAAAAACTCAGCTGCTAGGGGCTCCTGGCATCGCTACTAGGAACGAGGACGCTACTAGTAGCGATGCCCTTTGCTCCTAGTAGAAACACCGAGATGATCAAATCCGGCTGTTTCTAGGGATTCGACCATTGGAGCTTTTACTGAAGCGCATCTCGTAAAGAGGACTGATCATTTTCTCACAAGTACATGATGTGGTGAACTTGACCAATGTTCCATTCATGCTTTGATGTTTTGGCTTTCTCCCTTTGATACTGTTGTGGTGGGTACTCAAAGGTCGTTTGTTTGCACTCTTCTCTACCTTTGCCTGGTCATTCTCACGCCTGCAGGCGGTAAAACTGCATATGGCTGGTCAGCAACATGGATGTGAGGGCTAAACGGGGCTAGGTGAGCTGTTCCCACAGCTTGTTGCTTCTCAACGCCCGGCAACCTGGAGGGAAAGTCACGACCATCCACCGAAAACTTGAGCAACTCGGAATTTGGGAGAGTCCCATTGAGCTACTCGCGGATGCTGATTCCCCAGCTGGGATGTACAACAGGAAGAGTCTCCCACAGACAATAGTCGGGCAGTCGCAACGTCCATTCCAAACATGATACTTGGTAGCGATGCCCTTGCTCCTAGTAGCGAACCTTGCTCCTAGTAGTAAGGCCAGGAGCCCCTAGTAGCATCCTTGCTCCTAGTAGCGATGCCAGGAGCCCTAGTAGCTTCTTGCCCTTGTTGTCGTGGGACACTTGCCCGCAAGCAAGTCTTGCTCTTGGCCTTTCGGGAAATGTATTTGGAGCAAGGGCATGACCATGTTGCACGGCGCTGGGCTGAATACAAGCTACAGCATTCTTGTAGCTACACCAGAGGCAGATGCTGAGGCCTGAAGTCTTCTGAAATCTTTGCGTTCGGTGTTTGCCCGACCTTGCAAAAGAATGCAAGAGTTCTCCATAAGTTTGTCCAACAGGTTGACCAAATATTGAAACCTTCAGGGGGAGTTCAAGCTACTAGTAGCTAGAAGCTACTAGGGGCTCCTGGCCTTACTACTAGGAGGAACAAGAAGCTATTGCCGGGCAGTCATGAAGTCGAGAAGTGTTGTGAGGCATGTAGCGGCGTGGCAGCCTCAGCGTCAGTCAGCACGGGTGCGATGGGAGCAGTCACCGGTATCTCCCAAACCGAAAGCCGTTCTTGAAAAGAAGAAAGCAGGTTGGAGCCCATTGCTAGTAGGTTGGAGGCCATTGCCAGAAAGCCAGCAAAGTTCTAAGATCTAAGACCTAGCATGATAGTTCGATAAGACGCACCATGTCCTAACGGCCTGCAAAAGGAAAGAAACGCATCAAAAAGAATGAAACGACTGAACAAAGCAACAAAGATAAGACCCAGAGAAGATCCAAAAAGACGCTAGTAGGGTGGAGGCCATCGCTATTAGGTTGGAGGCCATCGCTCGTAAGCCATCGCTCGTAAGTTGAGGGCCATTGCTATCAGGTTAATTTGAACTGATTTCACTGGAAGTGATCAAAAAACACCTAGGCCATGACACGTTCAAACCGTACACGGTGCAGCAACACGTCACCGGAAGTCGAGGCTTCACTTGAACGAGTGCGACGAGTGCGACGGCGAGCCGCACTCGGCTCTGGAGGGTTTGCTGGCCGCCTTGGCGGAACTCCACCGCACTCCGCCGGGACAGGTGGGACAAGTCGGGTAAGCAGAGTACTCCGAAGATCCCTTTAACACGTGGAGTTAGTTCTAGGCATTCAAGAAAAAGTAATTATGGCATATCCGATCATCAAAGTCAGGAGCAAAAATGTCAGAAAACACTCGTTGCTGAGTGACTTCTTTTTCAGCCTCTTTCAATGGTCCGTATGGATCGTCTCCGCTGCGAGGTCCGTTTGGTCCAGGTCTCCTGCGACGCTTCGATGTCTTTGGGCTGCGACCTCCCGAAGCTGCAGCGGGCGCCGTGGCGCGACAGCGGCGCGTTGCGCTGTTCGACGGCTCTGAAGGGATTGTTCCTAGTAGCAATGAACTAGAACCTAAGAGCAATGGCCTCCAACCCAAGAGCGATGGACCCAAAAGGCTCCGAAGCAAAAGCTAAAGGCTCTGGAGAGACTTCTATCCGAAGATTCCCACCCAATGGAGTCTCTGGCAAAGTGCACTTCCTTCCGGCAAGGCTTGTACCATCAGAAGAAGGTCCATTCCATCATGTCAAAACTTCAAACGAAAGTAGGTAGCTCGGCAGCTCACTCCCATTTTTTCAATTCAACAAAAAAGAAGAGGCTGCAGGGGCTTTTTGTTGGTGCTTTCTTTGAGGCCTTTCTGCTGCTTCAGCTACTGCCAGCCTTCGTGCTGGGCCTTCCTCCCCTTAAAGGCCAAGGAGCCGTGCAGCACCGTCCAGGGCTCCAGACAGTTGCAAAGACGAAACAACACAATAGAAGGGATGGCCTCCAACCTACTAGCGATTAGAACGAAGGAAAGAGTAATGAAAGAGCGCTGCTAAGTCGGTTTTCGGATGAAAATCAAAAGGCCAACAGTTGCAGCGTTGCAAAAGTCCCACTTTCTTACCGAAAACACAAAGCCCTAAGGCCCTAATGGCTCGAAGGGATGACAAGCGGTATGACATGTTCTGTCGGCAAACTTTCATGCCATCCAGAAAGTTCCACCAGGAATCTCTCGAAAGTATCGCTTCTAGGTTGGAGGCCGCTATTAGGTTGAAGGCCATCGGCAGAGCGGCCTTTAAAACGAGAAGCAGAGTGGCGGGCGCTTTGTACTCGGCGTGAGGAGTCCAGGCGCTCTTATGGGCCGCCTGCGATGTCACTGTGGCCTTTTCTGAGGCCGAAAGAGACGAAGAGATGGGTAGAGATGAGGACGAATGCTCGGAGTAGCGTCCGATCGCTCCTAGTAGTAAGGCCAGGAGCCCCGTTCGTAGCGTCCGATCGCTCCCTTCGTAGCGATGCCCTTTGTTCCTAGTAGCGTCCTTAATCATAGACGGTGGTAGGTGGGTTTCAAGTTGCCTCCAGACCATGTTTGTTGTTTTGTTTTAGCCGGCCCTGCCTCGTGACTTGATGAAGTCGACAAGTAAGGGAGAAGTTCGCTCCTGGTTAGCTTCTAGTAACTGGACGTAGGATAGCTCACGCTTTTTCAAGGAAGCGCTCGTACTAGTCAGTTCCTAGTCTTTTTGCATCATTCGGTTCTCAAGAGAACTTTAAAGGATGTTTGACCGTATCTTGCAGTGTCCATCGAACTGCTAAATTCTTACAAGATAGATGCATGGATGAAGACAAAGCGTTGAGAGCTATTTACAACCTGGCTCTCCAGGTTGGGTTCAGAGATTGTCGTAGTTACTTCGTTGGCTGTTACGTCAGAAAGTAGCATGAGCATACAGCGGCGTGTGACCTTGTGACCACTGCGGAGGACGATGCAGCCGGTCGAGGATCGTGTTGCACTTCTCATTTGACATCTCAAGGGTGGCAGTACCCACGTGAAGAAAGAGAGCGCAGACAGTTGCAACAGCCCAGCTACAAGGGACAACTGCAGCTTTTATCCAAGTTCGCCAGCGCGTAGTGTAGTGGACAACACCATTCCACCTATTCCCTAGAGGAGCGCTGGCCATGTCAGATGCTTCTGAAAGTGGTCTGGAGCAGACACGTAGCGCTTTGATCGAGGCGCTGAAGCGTTCGCGAGAAACACATCAGAAGCTTGGTTTGCAAAAGGAAAAGCTTTTTCGTTGTGACTGGTAACAGCGGAAAGGAACAAATAAGCAAGGATAAAGGGAAGTTTGGCCTCTAAACACAAAAGGAGAACAAATAACATGAAGGAAACAAAAAAGATAAGGACAATACAAATATACAGAAACGGGTAAGAAGAAAGAGCTTTTCGATTTATAAGAGCGGCATATCTCAGGAAAAGGCGGCAGGCAGCCGAGGAAATAGCGGTACAGCTGGAAAAAAAAGTGGTACAGCTGGAAGAGAGCCTCAGGACCAGTGAGGAAGTGCTGGCCAATGAGCGTGCAAATTTGTCATGCGAAAGGAAGAAGCTTGATGCAGATCTTCAACTTTTTAAGAGCTCCTGGGAGGCCAAGATCGGGGAAAGCTTGGAACTTGAAGCTGCTTTAGCAAGTGAGCAAGACCAGCGCCAAAACGCCGAGAAGCATTTTCAGTCGTTCAAAAGCTCCTGGGAAAAGGAAAGGTCAGGGATTGAAGCTGCTTTAGCAAGCGAAAAGGACAAGCGCCGAAAGGCTCAGAGGCTGATTGACGATATGCTCCAGCAGAAAGCACTCTTGGAGGCCAATCTTGAACATGCTCAGAACCGCACTCTCCGATTGCAGCAAGATTTTGCCCCTATGGAGATGAGATTGAAGTCGCTTGTCGAGGAAAATGCTCGCTTGCAAGCTGATGTGCAAAAGCAGCAAGCTGATTTGCAATGGCGTTTGTCTTGCACCACCATGAGCCATGGTGCCAGTTGGCAGTACCAGGTAGAGGGGTCTTGGGAGAACATGCCGCCTCGGATGAATGAGAAGCTGCTGCCAGCTTATTTGGCATATCTTCATAAGCCCACCGAGGAAACCCGCTATGCTACCCTCGATTCTGGTGGCACTTGTCGCATCTATGACTTTGAGCAGATGCAACAAGTGAACTGGGAAACGCAGAAGAAACGCCAAGTTCGCATTGTAGCCGGAGTGCCTGAAGGGTGGGAAACCCCAGCTGCATCCCTGCTGCAGCAATGCTCTCACTTGCGGCCTTTATATGTAAAAGAAAGAGATCCACTTCTCCTTGCCAAAGTGCAGGACATCCTTACAGAACACTCATCCGGATGTTGCGGTCACATTATGCAGCGAGCGACTGTGATTTCAATGTATCGCATCGAAAACTATAGAGTCTGGCGAGGATACAAGGCAAGGCTTGAGGCTTTGAGGCAAGAGCATACCAGCTACAAGATTGCCGTGACACCAGCCGAGTTGAACACCGGCTCTTCTCACAGTAGTATCGCACGCAACCAATGCATGTTTGACTGCGGAGAGGCTTTAGCTGAAGATGTGGATGAAAAGATTCTTCTACATGGCACAACCTGGGACAATGCCGATTCCATAGTGATGAATGGGTTCGACAATCGGACATGCATTCGTGCCATGTATGGTGAAGGCGTCTACTTTGCTTCAGCTGCATGCAAATCTCACCAGTACACATGCCAAGCTCATGCGAAGGCCTGCTTCTGCAATCATGAAAGAACATTGATCATTGCACGTGTTGCATTGGGTGATGCTTTCTATGCCCAAGAGACCAGGCAGAATCAGCGGAGGCCGCCAGTGAGAAACCAAAAATTGGGGGACACCTACGACTCGATTGTGGTGAACCCTGGGCCAATCAAACGACATCCCCACGGCTCTCAGATTCATCAGGAGTTTGTCATTTGTGACAAGGGGCAGGCGTACCCCTGCTACGTGGTTCAGTACAAAATGTGAGCTAAGAAGCAAAGGATGACCTCCACAACACTTGCTTGCGATCAAATTGAATCGGTCAATAAAGGTTTCGGTCCGAACGATTGGACATGGAAACTTCCATTGTAAAGCATTGACCACCTTTGAGAATTTCAGGTGGTTGATGGTGTAAAGTCCTTGCAGCGTGGAACTCGCTCAACATGGTTTGATCTGGTAAAAGGATGCGTGCGGGCGTCCTATCCTATCAACATGGACTGAAGGTTCAGTTGTCCTTCGTCCAATTTGTTTTTGTTTGTTTTTGTTCCGAAACCTCACAGGTTTGATGAATGGATTTGGGGCTGGCAGATACATGAAATCTCACTGTCGAAGGCAGTCTTCGACCTGATCAATCTCAATGGGATGGAGCGCTTTTTGCCCATGAAACAGGCACTCGGTGGCAGGGTAGGTCGGTGGATGCTGAGCTGCTGGTGATTCACCGGGACTGGTGCCACTAAGGCCCGGACAGGTGCAATATAGTTTGCTATTAGGTGAACCCTCCGAATGTCAAACTTGAGAGCATTCAGTTGATCTTCAGTTGATCTTGACAAGTCCCTTCTGTCGCGCTTTATGTCCCAGAGGTTGATACTCGTCACTTGCACAAAGTTGAAAAAGGCACGCTTGGCAGGTTGACCTACCGCATAGCTGCTTTTTGTTTCACGCTCGACAGCTGACTGAAAATGAAAGAAATGTGACTGAGGTTCTTCATCAGAGAAAGGCCATGGCTATTAAGTTGGAGGCCATCGCTACTAGAAACAACAAAAGAAACGGATGATAGCTGTAATATAGTTTGCTAGTAGGAAAAGCTTGGATAGGGGAGTTTTTGGATTAGAGATCGTTAAGACAAATCCTGCAACTACCCAGAAGTGTCATACAGCAAGCCGTGGCATCGACTAGTCGTCACGTTACGACTTGAATACTTGGTGCCAACCTGATCCCCATGATCAAGAGGCCATGGCTATTAGGAGGGTTGACATTCGGAGGGTTCACCTAATAGGAAACTATATTACACCTATCTTGATTTTTCTGTTCTTTTTATTTGTTTCTAGTAGCAATGGTCTCCAACCTAATAGCGATAGCCTCCAACCTGACCCCGATGATCAGATCAGTTTGGTTTGCCTTGTTTGCCATTTTGGAACCCCAACCTGATTGAATCTATTCAGTTTGTGTCTCTTTTGCAATGGTTTGGCAGATTTGCTATTAGGTTGGAGGCCATCGCCTTTAGTAAAGTTTCTTCATTTTTACATATGTTTCTTTTTTATCAATTCGTCGCGCACAATGGTGTAGGTTCCTCCTTTCGAAGGCACGCTCACTGCTACAGAAGCCAAGGACTCACATGTCTTTCGGTTTCGTTTCTTGACCAAAAGGACAGGAAAGGCGACTGTCCAAATCATTGAACAATGGAATGGTTTCAAGTTGGGTCCGGTTGTGAATCGCTGCAGAGTGTAATCAAAAAGAGTGAAATTTGTTTGCCATGGCTTTTTTGCAGATTGGGGAACAGAACAGCAGCATGGGGATCCATTGAACTGCAGGGTCCATGTAGAATGGACTGTTGTTTGTTCCTGCGGTTCCCCTCCTTTCCCAAGCTTTTCTCGGCCACTGCTTCGCATTGCTTCGCACTTGGAGGAGTTGGGTTTGGTGTCTGAGATCGTGGAGGACGAGTGGCAACTTTGGAGGTCGATCGAAGAGATTTGCCGCTTGACGAAACGCGGAGATGAAGCAGAAGCGGCAGGAGCAGCAAGTGTTTCAGCCGTGAACGGACGAAACCCGCTGAATGTTTGCTTGCTGAAATCCACAGATGATGGGTATGAGCAGCGATACAGGCGTCATTGATTTGAAAGGATCACTCATAAGATAGATTGTTTTTTGAAGGCCCAGGGTTGTATGGTTAGGCGCAAGGTGCTTTCCCTGAGGTGAAAAACTTTCAGAGTGCGCACCCACGGCAGTCTTGAGCCCAGCGGTGCCAGGGTGAATCTTGATCGCAGAGAAACTTGGCTCGCCAGAGGACATGGAGTCCATGGGTTAGGGAGGAAACTTCACTAAGGTGGTATTCTCTTGATTTGTTTATCTCAAGTGTTCACTTCTGAAACTCTTTCCAGATTCAATCCAATCCAGGAAAGCTCTCTCCAAAACGCGCCATGTGTTTATTTGCCTACATCATCGCAACCAGCGCCAGAGGTGGCACAATCCAAGATTTTCATCCACAAGGCCGGTCATGGATAGGGAGGTCACACAAGGGCTGAGGCAAAAGTCTTTCACATTTTGAGCATGTTAGGACAGCTGCCCTGAGGGAGTTGCCGTACTGTTTAGGGATTTAACAAGGCAACAACACAGGGGCTATGGTTTGTGTCGTGTGTGTGTGTGTGGGTGTTGCGATTGTTAGGATCTTGTGACCTTGCAGAAGCTTAGAATTGGAAGTAGAGGATAGCGTGCTCTAAACACAAGGCTTTGTGCATGGAGGGGAAGGAAAGATCCTGTTCAAAGTTCACCTTAAAGCCTTTGAAGAAGTATTGAGTAGAAAAGAAGAAACAAAGAATGGAAATAAAGAATAGATCGATACAAGGAATTGGCTTTTTCTGCAAAGGATTTTTCAATATTTGTTCTTTAAAGCATTTGAAGAAGTTTTCTGCAAAGCAGTTGGGACTTGACCGGCAGTGTCGCCAAACGTGGGGGTCCGTTCAAACTCTAGAGGTGGGAAGCTTCCCCATGAATCTGCGGCTTCACGAAGACTTAGCCGGCCACATCGCCGCTTGGACAGGTAGGAGGTAGCTGCAGGTAGCTAGTAGCTAACAAGTAGCTACTACCGACTGGGCGCAGGATAGCTCACGCTTCTTCAAGCAAGCGCTCCCACTTATCATTTGGTTCCTAGATGTTCCGCAAAACTTAGCTTTGAACATGTCTTAAAGCGCCAGACCTTTCGCTTTTCACAAGGCCCCAAGCTCCATGGTCTAGCAAGGCATTGATTCCCGGTAATGTAGCTACTGGGAACATCGACAGACCCACCACTCAACAGATGGATCCATTCAGGGTTGAAAGTAGATTTTGCACGAAGACAGAAAGGGCATACACTTCTGAGATCATTTTGGCATGTTGGACCTCGCCAATGTTTGTTGCTCCATTGCATCGATACTGAGTATTCACAAAAATAAGCGGAAGTGACACATGACTCATCATGTCGAACAAATGGAGCATGGAAGTTGATATTTTCAGAAATGGAGGCCATTGCTAGTAGGATGGAGGCCTTTTGAAAAAGGTTTTCAGAAAAGTTTGTTGATTGTCCTCGTTCATGACGGACATCGCCTGCCGAGGCACGACGGATGGACGATCCGGAGTTCGAAGACTCCATCCGAGCGGTGCTGGACAAGGCCTTGTCCGAACAGATTCCAGGTTTGGGGCATGAGGATTCTATTTTTGCAGCAGTGGGTGGTGAGTACCTATCACCCATCACTTCGCTTATCCAAGAGATGGGATCACCAGTGTGTGTGTGTGTGCTGTCCGTAGAGAAAGGTCAATTATGAAGGGGGGCGCTTTGCCAGTGCAGGCGCATGTGCCAATCTACAGGCGGCCACAGAACAAAATCGTGCCTTGGTTGCAACAGGGGTCCACAAGACAGAGGTGTAAACAAACACAAATAAGGCAAAACCTTCAACATCCAATTGAAAGACATCCTCCTTTTTCCAACCCTCAGTTTGTTCGTTTTCATAATTGTTTATGCTTTCAGGTTCATGAGAACCGATGCAATTTCCGCAATCCTTTCTGGCAGCTTTCGGCACATGCCCAAAACTTGGTTCTGATTTGCGAGATGGACTTTTCTGAAGAGCAACGCCAGGTCCCTGCTCACCTCCTGAAGGTTGAGGAGAAGTTCGGAACGTTTTTCTTCGCTCAAAACGCCAACCCTTCAGAGAACCCTTCAGTGCTTTGTCCACCCCGATTCGGAAGATGGCCTTTCTACCCACAAAACGGAGCGAGCACGGACGAGTGGTGATTGGTCTAGGGATGATGGCACAATGTATGCTGTATCATGCGTCGTATTCACCGAACTTTGAACAAACAGTAAAACATTATAGTTTAATGGTTAAATGAATATGATGTTTGATTTCGTCAAATGAATGCACCTAGCAATCCAGGAGAAGAGGTGCCAGGAATGGAATGAGCCCGAGTGGCTGGAGGATGGAACGGTGCTTTGGATGGGTAGCGGGTAGCAGTTCGGATCTCCATCAAGTGCAAATTCTTGGAGAGCTCCTCTAGAAAACTTTGGAAAGCCAAAGGGATGTCCGGCCTTCAGATTTAAAGGTATGTTTTAAGAATTGGAGCCAGCATCGCGTTGCTTAAACTGCCAAAAAGATCAAAGGTTGAAAGATGGCAGCATGGTGCAAAATGGTGCAGAGGTCGTGTTTTGCTGATGTTTGTTTTGTGAGTTCTCCACTGACTTTCTAGAGCGAAAACAAACCAAGTCCTGGGACTAGACTTGGGGCCGTTTTGGTGGGTCTAAGCCTCCAACCTACTAGCGACGGGCGCGCGCGCGAAGAGGTCCTAGTAGCTTCTTGTTTCAATTCCAATTATACTAGGCTGAAATGACAAAGGACTTGTGAAAACTACCTCCAAATTGCGGCGGCTAAGTCATGAAGGTTTAGCCTACCCCCCACAAGTATTTATGTCATGACTTAGGACTTGCCCTGGGAAAGTTGTATGTCATTTCGACCCAATTGGCCTAAGTCATCTCACCCTAGTATAAATTCAAATTCTATTGAATTCTTGTTTCGAATAGCTTCTTGTTACTAGTAGTAAGGCCAGGAGCCCCTAGTAGCTTCTTGTTCCTAGTAGCGATGCCAGGAGCCCCTAGTAGCATCCTTGCTCCTAGTAGCGTGATGAATTCTCCTAGCAAATGGTTCCTGACTTTTCCTGAGCGCTGTCTCCTTAGCTCGCTGAGGTGCTGGTTTGACCTCGGCAGAAAAGCGCGTGTGCGAAGTGGAAGATTCGGCCGAGAATCTCAAAGACTCTTAAGCGTGTTCCTGGGAAACCTTCCACCAAAAGTGAAAAGCAAGTGTCGTCATCTGATGTTTCTCAAGAACAAGGAGGTTTGGAGGGGCCATTGTAAGTTTTTTCGCTCGAATCTTTGAGTGCTGGCATATGATAACTTCTTTGCATGAAAGCTGAAACTAATAGCCTCCAACCATACAGCGAAAGAAACCTACTAACCTCCCTTATGAGGCTTATGTGTACGATGTCGGTATTTTCAAAACGTCTAGATTTGACAGGCTCGGCCCAGGAGGCAGAGTGGCGAGGGTGGCGAGGCGAGAGTTGGCGGACATGGTCATAGCAATAAGGAATTGATGTGGATGGGTGCAAAGTACCCAGAATGTGAATTTGTGGATTTTAGTAACTCTTCCACCAAGAAAAAAATCAACAAGAAAGTCCCGAAAGCGACAAGAAAACGACAGGGATCAGAGAAAGTTGGCATCGGTTGTGTGTCACCAGGTAACGCGTTCTACCAGCGAGGCCTGGCCAGCCTTCGCGCGGAGCCTCGGAAAGAGCTGTGCTTCCAGTGGCAAGGAAATTGGTTGTTTTCGAAACAACTTCGAGAGAACTCCAATTTTGTGGCGGCCATCGCTACTAGGGTGGAGGCCATCGCAATTAGGTTGGAGGCCATCGCTATTAAATCTTACATCGCTTCGGAAGAACTGCTCTAATTTTGTTCCTAGTGGCTTCCTTGTTCCTGGTAGTAAGGCCAGGAGCCCCTAGTAGCGTCCTTGCTCCTAGTAGCGATGCCCTTTGTTACTACTGGTGGAGCACACCTGACCGGAACCGAAGGCTCCCACTGAGACAATGACCTCCAACACAGGCACAGCTTGAGGGTGGGATGAGCGGGAGTTGCACATGAGGATAGGACAAAATCTATGGTTTGGGTTGGCCCCCACCAATTGTTCCATGTATAGGGCCAAACATGGCCTTCTCCAATACATAGGTTCTGTAACCAGAGATTTGGCCCATTGATCATATCTTGGAATGCTGCGATGTGATTGGCACGATTTGGTGGAAAAGAGGAGGAAACAGGCAGTTTTGTGTCCAAACGTTCTGCGAAGCCTTTCAGTTACCCTCTACAAGCAGCAAGAATGAATCCCTTGAGTGACCCAAGGTTTGGCCGCAAAAAGGAAGATTGGGTTTGTGTAAATCATTTCACACCGTGAACAGTAAGCCAACGAAAAGAAATTCAGCTGAAAGGATAGACAGGGCATCAGAGGGAACCCTGCTATGTATGTTCCACAATCTACCCATTGCTAGCTGTCCCTCATGATTTCTTTCCTTTTGCACTTCTGGATCAGTGCCAAAATTTTCACAATCATGAAACGTCCCTTTCGTTCAGTTCTTGTGGTCTGGATCATGGATTTGGACACATTTTGTAAAGACGAGATTTATCCCGGAGATCACCATTTACCTGTCACTTTTTCTGCCAATAATTTTGCGTCAAAGCTGCAGTTTCCTGATGCGTTTCAGCATGCTCAGGTGCCAGTTAACTGCCTCATCACCCACGGTCATGACAGAGCGAGGGCTGTGGCCTGTAACTGCTTGTTATGAGAATGATATGTTGCTTGTAATTGCCAGTTAACCTAACAAAAATGCAGAATTGAGAAATAGGCCGATTTTCTCTTCGCTGCTCTGCTTAGAATGCAATGTGATCCTTAGCGAACGGCCTTAGCGCTGTGGGAATGAACCACCGGCTCCAATGCTTTCCGCCCCGGAAGCACCAAAGTTCCCAGACACGGCAGCAGACGGCTCCAACCTAGAAGCGATGGCCTCCAACCTACTAGCTTCTTTGGGTCTTTCCGTCGCTTCTGGGGCAGTTTCCCTTTCGCCGTTGCACTCGTGTGAGTTCTGGCGACTGGACCGACTTGGAGGAGCATGCCCACTCATGCCACAAGACCTGACAAAGACTGTGATTAGTTCTTGTGGCGAAAAGAAAGATAATGAAAGAAAGGTCTAAAGGAAATAGGATAAGAATAAAGTTCTGTTGTCAGGGCAGTCCTTCTTCCCGTTTTGCTTTGCGATGTCGTTGGCAACACAGTGCAGATGCTCATCCATCAAAAGAATCAGGATTGCACACGGATTCAGATGTTGTTTGCAAATAGGACCAGACTATACTATAGTATACTATAGTTCCGTTCGATGGCTTTGCTTTTTTGCCGCGATCCTGGATGACTCTCTGAGCATCAGAGATGCCTTGGAGATTTGCATAGCGACCCGATGAGACACAATAGCTCTTAGACGAGCTGGAGCCAGAAAAGTCGAAGGCTCTGCACACTCTGCATCACCCTTTCTGTTCATTGGCTTTGAGCTAGCAGGTCATACTTTCCACCCCTCAGTTGGAAAGGCTGGATAGCATTGAATTAGTACGAAAGTCATAACACCACCGCCGAAAGAACAACGGAAGTTCTGGTTTGGCAGGTAGGACGATATGGCCTCAACCATTCTGAATACCGAAAATGCTCACTCAAATGCTTCCAATGCTTCTCAATGCTTTCCATGTATTTGGCCGAACTCCGCAGCACTTGGCCCTGGAGATAGATTGACGAAGTTATCCGAGACTGCACGAAGTAGGATGCCAACAGGGGTTCTTGCTCAGCCCTCAGATTGGCACCCCGTGTGGGAGAATGCGCGGCCTCTTTTTCCTAGCATTCCCAAACCTACTACCTTTTCGGTCCACATCACTCTTCCATTCCGCCTGACGAGTGAAAACAAGAGTATTTTTAAGGTTTACACGGGCTTTTGTCTCAAAGGCTTCGGATCTTGGACTCAAGGTGCTTCTGATACCACAAATCTTGGACTCAATCAGTCGGAATTTGGAATCCCCGAAGTTGACAGCTTCAACGCAACAAAGCAGGTGCGATGGAATAACGAGAAAGGCCCGGGCGGCTTAGGTGGCTTCAGCTATTTTGGCACCACATTTTGCCTAGCGAAGTAGTCGTATGAAAGAAGTGCATTTTGGGCATTTGAGCCTTTAGAGTTCCGCGGCTTCTTTGAAGCCTCTTTGGGTCTGAAAACTCTCAGTGCCACCACCAGTGCTTCCAAGATGAACCTGCACCTTCAACTTAAGTTGGTGGTTGTTCATCAATTTGTAAGCTGATTTCACAAAGTTATAGGTCTGTTTCTTAATGTCCAAGAAGTCGAAACTAGCATGACTGCAAACTGTTCGTCTTCTTGGTAAATGGCTTTTAGTATCAGACGCAAAATGTGTCGTTGGTAAAGTAGCTTTGGTTCTTTGTTTTTTCGCATTTTTGCAGAGATGATTTCTGCACCGCGCTCGAGGTTTCGGATTCATTCAGCCCCAGGACAATAGCGAGGACTGCCCTGGTGGCCGACATTTTTCTCTTGTAGAGTACAAAAGAAAAGGAAAAAACGTTTTGGGTCGAATTTCTCAAGATGGACAACTCTCATCCCAAAATGGCCTTCTTGAAGATGAAAGACTCCACAAGTGCTGCATCTTTGCCAGACAATGCTACTTTGAAAAATGTGAACCTTTTCAATGTGCCATGCGAGAGCATCACAACACTATGTCGGCAAGGTGCAAGCATGACAACGCCACAACAAGCAAGAGTGAGGAAACCGACAGCATGACCCGTATTTGAGTTTCACAACGTGGCAGCTCTGTTAGCGAGACCCATGTCAGCGTTGCAGCATGACAACGTGTCAGCATGACAGCCTGATAATACGTCGGCTCGACACAATCCCAGCACATCAGCACAACAGCATTCTACACAACACGCTTTCATGCGTGACAACATATTAGCATGACAACCTGCCAAGCATGACATGTCAGCATACGCCATTACTTTTTTAAGCATTGTTTTTTTTCTCTAGGCCTGCTCAGTGCATCTGCAAAGTGCTCTGGAAGTGTCATGCTCCCAAACCTGCTCAGGAAATGCTCCGGGACCTGCTCCGAAGTCTAGTTTTGCTGGGAATAGCTTCGCTGTTGGGTAGAAAAGGTATGAAGAAGTAACCAAGAACAAAGCATGAATGAATGAAGGTAGAAAAAGCAGGGAAAACATGGGGAGAAGTGAAAACTGTGAAGAAGGGAAAAACTGTGAGAAAAGTGAAGTTTAGAAGGCTCTTTCAGCAGTTTTCGCACTTTCGGCTGTTTGGAGGATGTCTTCTGTCATGTCTCGGACCTCCAAGATGGCGAGGGTAGCGTGCAGGAGGCTTGGTTGGGGTCACCCCGACCGACATGCACCAGCCAGAGGTGTGGCACGTGATCGAAGGGTTTTACTCTTGTTTGCATGGTGCATCGTTGAATCATGTTGCTCCTAGTAGCGATGCCCTTTGCTCCTAGTAGCTTCTTGGTTCAAGCGGGAGTCGAGTGTTTCCGGCTTTCAGGGGGACTATGTGCTCTACAGCGAGAAGTGGGACAATCGCAAGGCTCTGCCGAACATGTTATGCTGAAGAACGGTGTTTGGACGTCACAGATGGCACGATCGACTTTTGGGGTTTGAGTCAGCATCCTTTTTGGTTACTTTGCTGGATGAAAGGTAGGAGAGCCTCTGGCTGCAGCCACAAGCTGCTGAAATGGTTGTTGCTCTTTGTCTCAAATATCAACCGTAGCAGCTCTGGCAGGGGAAGTGTCGCGTCGCTTTTTGTTTGCTGTCTTCGCAGGGGAAGTACCGAGCAGCGGAAGTAGAGCTAAGTGCCCCTGGCGAGCTCGCTGAGATCAGCGCCATCCGGAGGAGAGACAAAACTGCAAGCCTAAGAGATTAAGTAAGTGCTTCTGTCTTGCTTTAAAAGGAGACCAAGAGCGATGGCCTCCACCTAATAGCATCCTTGTCACAAGTTGCCAGTTGCGTGATGAGAGTGAATTGACTTTTAGAAGGGAGGTAATGATCCAGGTAATTGGCTGCAAGAGATTGCCGGTGCAAACGCTGGACGGCTCCAACTTGGATTGATTTCTTTTCC